TTTGAACTCATCTCTTAATTCCTACAAAAATGTTTTGTTTCTTTTCCCAAGCCCCAAAGTTCAATTGTGGCTAACTAACAGCAATTTAAATAGCATTTTAACTAAATAGCTTTGGCTTCTAGGCTTCCAACAGGGGCACCCTAAAGTAAATCTTCCTTGGTTAACAGCTGTCAACTGTCAGTGAGCTAAAGGTAATTAAATTTGAAGATAGCTTTATGGCTCAGAAAAATAGATAAAAATCCTTGGACCAGAAAGGTCTTAAGTTAATGCAGTTATTGTTCCCTGTAGTATTTGAATTAATGCAAGAAATTGATTATTTTCTAATGAAATAGATAAAGAGGAGAATTGCAATTGTTTGTTACTTGCAAGTAAAATGCAGTTGAAGCTATTTCCCTGCTAAGATCACACTCTTGGTTTTACTTCATTATAGATTAGAAAGAAAAGGAAAAAAGAAAAAAAGTATTTTTTTAATGCCCAAAGTAACCAAATCATGGTAGAATGGGTGAGAAGATGGTAACTGGGGGCTGTGAACACCCAAAGATGTGTCAGTAAGGGTTTCAGGAAGAAAAAATGAAAACTCCAAAGTTTCTAAGAAATGCAAAGATTGTTTTTTAAGATTTTATTTATTTACTTTAGACAGAGTGGAAGGGAGGGAGAAAGAAAAGGAGAGAAACATCTCTGTGTATGGTTGCCTCTCATGTGCCCCGCCACTGGGGACCTGGCCCACAACCCAGGCATGTGCCCTGACTGGGAATCGAACCAGTGACCCTTTGATTTGCAGGTTGGCTCTCAACCCACTGAGCCACACCAGCCAGGGCAGGATTTTTTTTAATACTCCATAACAGAAGTAGTGCAATTGTAGAGCAGTTCAAGTGTTGTTTCAGAACTTAAATGATTTCTTAAAGAACTGAGCTTTCTTCTAAATTTCTGCTAGCAATCTTCTCGGTAGCTACAACTGCTACAAGTATAATATGCTTCCATGGCAATATCCAGAGGTAGGAAAAAAACACCTCTTTTTTGTGCCCCTTTTTAAAACCCCAGAAACCTCTTCTATACCCCTGCAGAAGGCTTCTCTTTAAATCTTGTGACTGTAACTGGTCACAGGGCCGCATCTAAACCACTCACTGGCTAGAGGGCCCAGACCAGCTCCGCCAACAAGGGAGAAAAGGGTGATATTGTGAAAGAAAGGGTCAACAGTGTCTCCTGCTGAGGGGAGCACACACTGATGCTCCACTGTGTGCTGGTGGGCTGTCCTTCAAGACATCTTTTAATGCAACCAATGTATAGAGGAGGAAATTGAAACTGGGAAAAGTGAGGTAGCTTTCTTAAAGTAACGTACTTAGTAAGTGATGAAGCTGGGATTTCAACTCAGAATTGTCTGGCTCAAATCTGTAATCTCCCCACAATATCACATTGTTGTCTCTACACCATAACCTACTTTCAGGTTCAATTACAAAGCTTCTGTCTTTGGATCTAACAATCAATGCATCTCTATGCTTTGTTTTTCACTTCAGATAGGTCTTCAGCCCTATCTGCTTACTCTCAGTTCTTCATGTAATTCATGAGAAGAATTGGAAATCTCTACCTGCAGATTTGACATTTTTATGGCAAATTGGTCATCTAATTTTACATGTTCATAGGATAGGTCTGCTTTGATTTAAATGTAAACTACCAACACTCAAGTAATCTCTCTACCAAGGAAATTTTGAATCTCCCAAATATAGTAAAGTGTTGTTCATATATTTCTCCTCTTTTTTGTTTATAGCTTTGGGAGTGGGCATTTATATCTTCCATTTACCCCCAAACCAACTTCATATAAAATCATTTCTCATCTTTTAAGTGTTCCTCACATCAACTCTTTCCTTTCACTTCTAGCATACCAGGTCTTTATCAACATCATATTTGAGATAGCATCTCATAGTTTTCCAGTCTCACGAACTCCAAAATTGTCCTGCACACACAAAAAAATTACTTTCTTTAAAACTGACTTTATTATTTTACTCTCTTGCTCAAATAATTTGAGTAGATTATTCTACATGTAAAATAAATGAAATAATTAAATATATTAATAAATATAAGTAAGGAAATTTAGTCCTCCATATTTTCTCCCTGTGTAAGGAATTATTATTCTTATTTTGCTGGCAGAAGCATAATGTCTTGTGCCAAAACGTCATAACACATAACCTATGTCATTTGAGAACAGGCGCTCTTTTTTTTATATTTTTTTATTATCTTAATTATTTTTATTATTATTTTTTAGATTTTTTAAAATTTTTATTTAATTATTTTTCAGGTACATTTTTTTGTCTATTTCTCCCATCCCACCCCCCCCCCAGTCTCCCCCCTCCCTCCCATTTCCCCCCCCAGTCCTCATCCCTGTGTCTTTCATACTTGTTCCTCAAAATCCCTCCCCATTTTTCCCCTTAAATTCCCTTCCCTCTCCCCTTTGGTCACTGCCCACTTGTTCTCTATTTCAGTGTCTTTGTTTTTATTCTGTTTGCTTGTTTGTTTTATTGTTTAGCTTCCTGTCAAAGGTGAGATCATATGGTATTTGTCCTTCAATGAACAGGCGCTCTTTAAAGCACTTGATATGTATTAGCAATTATGTAGGTATCACAACACCTCTATGATGTAGATATTGTTACCATCCTGACCTTACTAATGAAGACACTGGAGCAGAGGGATAAAGACACTTGCCAACTACACATAGAAATGAAATAGCAGAGCCAGGATTCTGACTGCAGTGGTTGGTCCCCAGGCCTTGAACTCAAGTCACGTTTTACTTCTTTGGTCTATGTATTTTACTGGAGAGTCATTTCTTGAAGAAGTATTTAGTGAACATCTACTCTGTACTATAAGCTATAATCTACCCAATGCTTTACAGAAAAATTACACAACATGCTCCATAGGATGAAAAGCAAATTTTTAAAAATACCCTGGATTTTTAGGCAAAGTCAAGAAAACCTGTGACTTATCCAGCTTTTGAGGGGCATTCATTAGATTCTACATTCACTCTCATGAGCTCTTGGATTTTTTTCCTATTTCAGTAATAACCTCTGGTCCAACAGGGGATGAAATTTTTCCTGATGACATCCCACCATACTTTCCAGCTCTCCTCCTGAAGGAAGCTGTTCCAGTTTCTGGGCCAGTGGCACAACTACTGCCAACAGCATCACCTGCCTGCGTTACCTGGCAAGGCTCAGTAACTGGGCTGGCACACCTGCCCAGTGCTCAACAGCTCAAACCCCCTACTTCCAAAGATCTGTGGTCCAGTCTCTTGTTTCAGTGGTCTTCCAGTGTCTTTCGTTCTTGTATCCTTTCCTGACTGACTTCTCAAGGTTCTTCTGAAATGTTTGTTTCTAGCTTTTTAATAATTCCTTTCACATAAAAAGTTCTGTACTTTATCATCATATGGCAAGAATATTAGAGCATATATTTTAAGGCCATGTGTTAGTAAGTTTAGGGATCGAGATCCTTAAATTGCAAAAACAAGGAAAAAGGAGGCAATATATATTTTACCTACTTTTATGTCTCCTTCTTATAACTAATTATTGAAACTTGATAATACTAACAGTAATAATTAGAGTTTGTTGAATACTTTCTCTGCCAGTCATTTCAAATGTTTACATGTACAAAATCAGTTAATTTTAATGAAAACTCTTGGCGGAAGGTGCTTATTACTGTTTCTTAAAAGTGAGGAAATTACGGCACAGAGAAGTTAGGTGACTTGTGCAATGTCATAGGAAGTTAGTCTCCTCAGCCTGGCTTCATAACCACTCTGTTATGCTCATAGCATTTTCAGATTATTGGCTAGATAAAAAACTACCTGAAGGGTGTTATGGCAGACCTTCCGAACCAGCGTGCCTAGAAAGCAGGTTAAATGTGTGACTTCTCCATCTTTACTTACAAGATGTGGCCCAGGTGCTCACAGAATGTAATTCATGGCCTCCCATAAGAATTCTTAACAATTTCCAGTTTTGGTTTAATTCAAATCACAGTCCTATCAGAATTTCTAGAAAGGTAGTTGTGATTCAATGACTAAAAGAAACAGTTCATCATTGAAACAGTAAATCCCAGACAGCAGACTCTTGTACAGTTTTTCACTCTCTTAATGCCATAAGCTAAAGAACAAAGAAAACCTGAACTATTTGAATGGAAAAGTCTTAAGTTGTAAAAAAGAGCATTTTGACTGGGAAGAAAATCGAATGTGCTATCACTGTTACTGATTTTTTATTGTCATAGTGCACTCATTATCTTCAAAGTTCAAGTAGATAGGCACATATTTTATGTAAAGGAAGTTAAATGAACATGAGTCATTGATCACTGACAAATTGAAATCCCCAAACTCAGAATATCTGACAATTCATTATTTTTCCTTGTAATATATACATAAACATTTCAATGGCATTGCCTTCTGAATGAGGTCTAATGGGAAAAATAAGTTTCTTTTTAAATAATTTATAGAATATATTAAACTGGTAATAATTAAGTTGAAGAAGTAAGGTAAATACTTAGAGTAGATAATAATCTTAAAATGATGTAGTGAGTCCCACAGTAAAACAGTAGGGCAGACATGGAAGACATTCACACTGTCCTTGTTTGTCTGTTTGCTGCGCTTTTCTGTTGTTCACTCTGCTATCTTACTGTGTTTTTTTTTTTTCTACTAGTCTTTCAAAAGACTGTTTTCACTAGTCTTGAGTTGATGACAGCCAAAAATAAAACTGAATTGAGACTCTTGCAAAATGTGAATAATTTTGTAATCAAATATCATCACCATAAACTTTAACATTGAATTCATACATTTATGTTTCACTTCAGAGGCATTAAATAAAAAATATCCACTGACACACCTCTATTTTAAAATTAATTTATTGTTTTAGGAAGAAAATACATCTTTACTTTCTTGGCAAGTTTTTCTGTAAGATAAATTTTATTAAAATATTAGAATCAAAGAACGAAGATGCGGAGGTCTATTTTCACTGTGTTTTTCATCATTTCAGAGCTTCGAGAAACCAGGACATCTGAATACTTCAGCCTATCCCACCACCCTTTAGACTATAGGATATTATTAATGGATGAAGATCAGGACCGGATATATGTGGGCAGCAAAGATCACATTCTTTCCTTGAATATTAACAATATAAGTCAAGAAGCTTTGAGTGTAAGTTTAGACCTCCCTACATGCTTTTTTTCTTTAAAACTTTCAAATACAATGAAAAAATCATATGGTTTTATTAGAACAATAGAAGACACTAGCTGCATGCTAATAAATAATTGGAGGTTGGTACTTATTTAATTGACTGAAAATTTAATCAACTCAATTCTCTTTGTCTAGTTTCATAGGTTTTAACAATGTAAAACCCAGGGGAACAGTGACCAGAGGGGAGAGGGGAGGAAATTTCAGGGGAAAAGGGAAAGGATTTACAGGAACTAGCATGAGGGACACATGGACAAAAACTAAGAGGGGTGGAAATGGGAGGGAGGTGGGGAGCACTGGGGGGTGAGCTGGGATGGGAGTAAAAGACAGAAAACTATACTTGAACAATAATTAAATAAAAAAAAGAATTTACTGTTGATAACAAAAATTAAAAAAAACAAAGTTCAGTGAGAAAAGACTTTCTGTGTATATGCATATTAGAAGAGAAAAAGAGAAGTATAGAGTATAGCATGAAAAAATGATCAGATTAGATGAAGGCCTTCCTTGTCATCCAGGATGGCCTTGGAAGGAAACACAATTATTGAATGCACTGTTCTTCAAACAAGTGTGGCCCATATTTATCATTCTCTTTTACAACAAGGAAATAAATTGAGCTTCACTGGTGTAAAAAAATAAAAATAAAAATAGATTAATTATAAATTTATCACAACAAGGAGATTCCTGAACTTGTTATTTTAAGAATGGGCAATGGATAATTAAAAAAATAATCATTACCACCAGACCTGACCCAAGGCCACAGTGACTTGGAATGCTGGTATAGTGTTTCAGAGCAGGACTCTCTTGGATTTTATCCCAGTTATTTTAACTGTTGATGTACCTATGGACCCATTCTAAGTAAATCTACTAGCCTGGTTGTGTGTTTTACTCAAAATAATTATTAAACTGAAATGGCAATTTAAATGTGAATTCATTTTGATATAAGCAGTTGGGAGAAGTGTACTATAAATCCAAAAAGGAGAAATATACATTACATTGTTCACATTCATAATGATCTCATTTTATAAAATACTTAACTATTAGTAAATGGCACACACTGAAAAGTTTTTGTTAAAAGAAAAATTGTTGGAAGAAAATCGTAAGTTTGAGAATAAAATAATAAAATATTAATTTAAGTTTATAAAATAAAAAGGATAGAATATTGAAAAATAAATACAGAAATACCTTAAAGAAACTTGTCACCATAATGTAAAGGAAGAACATTGAGTTGTCACATGCCCTGTGACATTTATACAATCTTTATTTTCCTTTCTGAGCAGGTTTTCTGGCCGGCATCTACAATCAAAGTTGAAGAGTGCAAGATGGCTGGCAAAGATCCCACAGTGAGTGATTAAAAAAAAAAAAAAACACCCAAACTTAAATATTTGGTCTTCAAATCCATGTACCTTGAGTGCAGCCAAGAGTGAGACAACGGGTGTTGGTGTTTCAAATCCTCTGCTAAACACATGGTAAAAAAATGTAAATACAAAAAGAGTGGAACTCTTAAACACTGTAATTTAGGAATTGCCTGACTGGGTAAAAATTTCCTGACTTGCTTTCATTATTGTACCCTGACACTTTTCATGATGGATTTCAGTAATAAGCCCTGTTCCGAGTGGATCCAACCTGTGGAATTCTCAGCAGGCTGCTGAAATAATGATAATGCAAGAATTTGGATAAACTCCCAGATACCATGTGGGCTTTCTGAAAGAAAGATTCTCAGCAAAAAGGTTATGGCTAGCAAGCACCTTTCAGAGACATGAATCACAGTGATGACTGATATCTTTGTTAATTAAAAACAACCATAGAAACAAAAATTAAACAAGGTATAAATATCAATACATTTTCAGTATGCAGCACTTGTACAAATTGTGTTCCTTGAGGCAGAATTTCCTATAGAGTCAGGGAATACATCTATATTGATTTCTTCTATTGACTTGCTAAAACCGGCGTTCTTGAATATTACAAAAGAAACACATGGAGCAATCTTTAGTGTGCATAAGTCATTTAATGTTTATAATGAAGCATATGTCATTCACCTTTTTATCTAAAATTATGAAAAATATCGCAATGAATCCGAGTATCAAAATCACTCATATAATTTGCTAAAGAAGTTTCTTCATTCTTCCAGTCATTCACTCAGTAAATATTGATCGAGCACCTACTGTGCACCTGGCGTAGGGTTAATTTCTAGAGACAGAATTTTGTGCCAATATAGATGTTTTTGGCTCTCATCGGCTTTATTATCTTGTTGGAGAAGTCAGCATTAATCGAGTAAGCATGGAGATAGCTGCTAATGCAGGTAGGAGAGTCATATGGTGATTGGATAACAAAAGCAGTAAATGTGCAAACACACACACGCATACCATCAGGAACGAGGTCAGGACAGCCTAGATTGAGTCTTGACTAAATACTTACCATTGTAAGTGCAGAGGTAAGAAATTGTGATTTCAGAAGAGAAGACTGTGTGCTGAGCCTTGGTAGTATTTCAGAGATATACTCTGAATTGTTTAATTCACAATGCTAATAAATGCTTTAAATCTCATGTATATAGAAAATTATTATATCATCAGATTGGATCTAACCAGAAAAAAAAGTCAATCCTTGTGTAAGGAGAAAGTGTGGAAATGAAACTTTCATTTCCATAGACTCTTAACACTCTCAAGTTTAAGGTTCTGAAAAGGTCGGGTTCAGTGCAGGGCCATGGAAGACTGTGGGGTGTTGAATCTTCAGGTCTCGCTGGAGAGTGTTTTTGGCAAGAGAGCTCACCAGGAGTGACTTGGCAACAGGTCTCACTTTTTCAAGTTCATAATTCACCTTGTAAAAGAATTTAAAAATGGGCAAGTAGAGCTTGCAGCATATTTGTTACCCACTGGATCTTTTGGACCACTATCTGGAGGGAGAAATGCAGAAAAATGTGGAAGCAACATTTGAGAGAATATTATTATTGCCTTCCAGGGAGCCAATAGTAGAATAAAGTATAATTTTGTGGAGTATGCTTGTTTTTTGTACCCTATTATTATTTTAATAATTGTGCATGAGTTAAACTATTTTCTTTCATTCTCTAATGTAGAGATTTTTCCCACTGATGTGTATCTGATCATGACTTGCTTTTTACCACAATAAAATCCTCTGCGCATAGTTACTGGATTTAATTGTCCTTTGTTCAAAAAGTTTTTATTTCTCATTTGTACAGTCAGAATATGTAGGATTTGGATACCTTTGCACATCTTTGTTTCAAAACTTCCTATTGATTTTCTAAAGAATCTTAGATAAGTCTTTAGATTTCTTTCTCCCTTTGGCAAAATAGAAATGTTCTGTAATTTGTTTTCTTTTTTTTTTTTTTTTAAAGATTTTATTTATTTATCTTTAGAGGGGAAGGGAAGGAGAGAGAGAGAGAAACATCAATGTATGGTTGCCTTTTGTGCGTCCCCTGCTGGGAACTGGCCTGCAGGGAACTGGTCTGCAACCCAGGCATGTGCCCTGACTGGGAGTTGAACCGCGATTGTCTGGTTCGCAGGCCCGCGCTCAATCCACTGAGCTACACCAGCCAGGGCTGTAATTTGTTTTCTTATTATTAAAAGTCATTAGATAAAATCTTCAATACATGCTTTTGTTTTCCCACCGTTTCATTATACTATAATATCATTCATGGATATCTTTAAATTCTGCTATACAGCCAGTTTATATACACAAGATAAGTAACCGGTGGAGGAGTCTGCTCTATTACAGCCAAAATTGTTGGGTCCTGGGAAATAACAATCAAACTAAGTCAAATAAATGTTTTGTCTATGGGAGAGAAGAGAATTTGTGATGAACCTGTCTCACTTCATACATGTAAAATACCTATAGAGAAGTGTCCTTTAATCAGGCCTTAAAAAAAGGGACAGTGTAGAACAATGATGGTAAATAAGCCTTTAGAATATTGCAAAACAATGGGGTTTTATTAAACTTTTTAAAATTTTCTTTACAAAATACTTTTTATATACATTTTTCTTCCCTTGTTTTATTGTTGTTCAAGTACAGTTATCTGCATTGTCCCCTACCAATCCCTCCTGCCCCCACCACTCACACCTCCCACCCTCGATCCTACCCACCTTTGGCTTTGTCTGTGTGTCCTTTATACATGTTCCTTGATGCTGGTTCCCATCTTCTCCCCATTATCTCCCTCTCCCCACCCCTCTGATTACTGTCAGTTTTTTTGTTCTTTGTTTCAGTGTCTCTCGTTATATTTTGCTTGCTTGTTTGTTTTGTTGATTAGGTTCCACTTATAAGTGAGATCATGTGGTATTTGCCTTTCACTGCCTGGCTTATTTCACTTAGCATAATGCCCTCCAGTTCCATCCATGCTGTCACAAAATATAGGAGATCCTTCTTTCTTTCTGCTGTGTAGTATTTCATTGTGTAAATGTACTATAGTTTTTTGATCCACTCATTTACTGATGGGCTCTTAAGCTGCTTCCAGCACTTAGCTATTGTACATTGTGCTCAGTGAACATTGGGGTGTATAGGTTTTTTGAATTGGTGTTTCAGGATTCTTATGGTATAATTCCAGCAGTGGAATTGCCAGGTCAAAAGGCAATTTTTAGTTTTCTGAGGAAATTCCATACTGTTTTCCACAGTGGATGCACCAGTCTGCATTCCCACCAATAGTGTACTAGGGTTCCCTTTTCTCCACAACCTCACCAGCACGTATTGTTCATTGACCTGTTTATGATGGCCATTCTGACCGGTGTGAAGTGATGTCTCATTGTGGTTTTAATTTGCATCTCTCTGATGACTAGTGATGCTGAGCATTCTTTCATATGTCTCTAGGCCCTCTGTATATCCTCCTTGGAGAAGTGTCTGTTCAAATCCTTTGACTATTTTTTAATTGGGTTGTTTGTCTTCCTGGAGTGGAGTTGTGTGAGTTTTTTATATATTTTGGAGATCAAACCCTTGTCTGAGGCATCATTGGCAAATCTATTTTCCCGTACAATTGGTTCCCTTTTCATTTTAATGCTGTTTTCTTTAGCCACGCAGAAGCTTTTTATTTTGATGAGATCCCTCTTGTTTAATCTTTCCTTTATGTCCCTTGCTCTAGGGGACATATCAGTAAAAATATCGGTGTGTGGAATATCTTGAGATTATCCTGCCTATATTCTCCTCTAGGACTTTAATGGCGTCATGACTTACATTTAAGTCTTTTATCCATTTTGAATTTTGTGTATGGTGTGAGTTGGTACTTGAGTTTCATTTTTTTGCATATAGCTGTCCAGCTCTCCCAACACCATATGTTGAAGAGGTTACTTTTTCTCCATTTTATGCTTCTGACCCCTTTCTCAAATATTAGTTGACCATAGAGACATGGATTTATTTCTGGGCTGTCTATTCTCTTCCATTGATCTATGTGTCTGTTCTTATGCCAGTACCAGACTGTTTCGATTATGATGGCATTGTAATACAGTTTGATGTTAGGTATTGTGATTCCTCCTATTTTGTTCTTCTTTCTCAAAATTGGTGCAGGAATTTGGGTTTGTTTGTTGTTCCATATAAATTTCTGAAATGTTTGTTCTATATTTGTGAAATATGTCATTGGTATTTTAATAGGGATTGCATTGAGTCTATTAATTGCTTTGGGTAGTATAGACATTTTGGTGATGTTAATTCTTCTAATCCATGAACATGATGGTATATGCTTCCATTTGTTTGTGTCTTTCTTAATTTCTTTCTTCAGTGTTGTGTAGTTTTCTGATAAAACCAAATATTAAAGAATTTTAAACTTTGTTGGAATAAATATCATCTAATTGCTTCACATTTCATCTTTATTAAACATGCAAATTGAATATTTAATTGGCACAAATTTATCATTGTGAAGAAATCAGAGTTGCATAAGTATAGAGTCCTACTCTGAGGAGTCTTTATAATATACTAGAGCTGCTGAGACATACATGTAATAATTATCAAACAGTAATAGTCACAAGATGGACACTGTTGTCATCATCTACATTTTCAAGATAAAGTGAGTGATGAGCTTATCAGATGGTGCAGTGCTGGCAAGTGGGAAGCCACTGTTTGACTCAGGCACATGTGGCTCGAGAGCCTGCACCTTTAGTTAATAAAACATGCCACCGCACTGGGAAGAGTATGGTAAATGCTAAGGACCCACACAAAAGACAAAGAAAAAGCACACTGAAGCTGGGATGTTTAGGAAAGACTGGACCGCCACGGTGGCAACTCTGTTGTCTTGTGTAAATCTGTCCCCTTGTTTTATTTCGATGATACTGCTCTTTTCCCTTTTTCAGCCTTTGGTACATGTCATAATGTAATTCTCTTCATGTTTAGTTATCTTCTCATCATTTTATCTGGGAATCATCTACTCTTGCTTTCAAGAAACAGTGCCGGTATCACATCTCCTGAGAGTCCTCTCTCCCCACGTAGGACTGGGCCAGCTGCCCCCACAGTGTACATGCCTGAAACATGCTTCTACTTTTTTTTCACTGCATTTTTATCTTTAACTCTCCCCTCGTGCTTGGAAACACCTTGTGCTAAGTGTCAGTATTCACAGGGCCCAGATCTGGATCTGGGTACTTTATACATTTAAACAAGATCTGGAAATATAGAAATGGAATCAAGCAAGCATGGGAATCTCCCAAGTGATTGTTACAAGTTGGTGTATCCACACAGTGAATAATGAGTTTATTAATGCTCTTACGTTAACAGTGTTTATTGTAGATTGTGTTGTAGATACTTTAGAAATACATTTTGATTAAATTAAACATTTTGCTTTTACGTATTGATCATCTACTAAGCAAAACTAATGACAATCAAAATTTGTGGTGCTGTAGTAATTAAAAAGAAAAATAAAATCCACAATCAAATATTCCATACTCCTTGAGGTTTTTTGCTTATATCAAAATTTAACGTTATTAAAAATAATTCATTATAATTAAAAATTCTATCCCAGGTAATAATATATCATAATGCTACAATAGCCTAATGTTTGTAAAGAAAAAAATGATCACGGTGGGAAAAGAGCTAATTTTTTTTTGTCTCAGCTAAGAAAAGTGTAACTTATCTCCTATTTCCCTTTCTGCTCTATGTATGCACATTCTTACATGCTCCATTTATTTCTAAATGTTAATATTTTACTCATTCTAAATAAATTGAGCTAAATAATAGCACATTCTGTCAAACGTACCCAGTGAGATAGGGCATAATAATTTGCTAAGTAAATACTGAAAGAGCTCCTTGAAAATTAAGCAGGATTCCATATAATCAGACATCTACACATTACACACACACAATGTCAAACTTGATTTATTAATTGTAGAGTATTTGTTTCCCTATTTCTGTGACTAGAGGATCCTACACTATTGGAAAACACGTTTCTTTAGTAACACACACATGCAATTGCACAGTGTGGACCATGAAGAGATAATATTTTTAAGGTCCTATTCACCTGTGCTCCAGGATATATTTTTTGAAACACCTATTTTTTAATTATATAAATAATTATCCTTCAATATATAAATCTTTCAAAGCCCAGAAAAGCAAGTAGAGAGCAACAGAAGGCCATCTTTTATTAGCTCTTTGACCCTGGAGACTTAACCACTCTGTGCTTTATTCTTCTTCTCTGTGTAATGGGCATATTCTAGCATATGCCTAGCATTATTGGATTGTTAAGAGGATTAATGAGTTAATATTTGCAGAGAGCTTAGAACAATACATAGCACTCAGCAAATGATGTAACACTGTTAAGTAAATAAAATAAATTACACTGTCCAAACATAGTAACTGTAAAATTGGGGGTATGTTATTCTAGCATTTTATTATATGACATACATAGTATAAAATAAAATATTCTGTGTAATGTTAGCATCTTGATTTTTACATTTAGCATTATACCAGAAAATACATTCAAAATAGAGTTACACAATGAACAGAAACATCCATGGTGCTGAATTTCACTGCAGCCTCGTTCCCCAAAGTTTCGTGGCTGTCTGCTCTGGTCAGGGCCTGTGCTACACTCTGTGCAGGTCACATGCCCTGTTCACATCAAAGGTTTGTACTGACAATTGAAACTGAAAATATGTGTGAAAGAACCTAATATCTAACCCAGTGTGAATTTTTTATGTGCCAGCCACTGTTCCAAGTGCTTTAAAGAAGGTTTACAGTTGTTGGTATGCAAAACAGTTTATTCTTGTATTATCATTTATTAATCATTGTATTATCTTCCATACTAATGACTGTAAACCTACTTTTGTCCCACCCTGTATTGCTCACAACAAATATTATCATCACCATTCACAGATAAAAAAATGAAGCACAGAGAAATTAAATGTCTCAAGTTCAAACAGGTGGTAAAGGATAAATCCACATTTTCAATGGCTCTGAATTTGTATACTTAAATCCATTCTCTATGGCCATCTGAGCCTACAGCAGGATGACAGACCAAGGCTCATTGCCTCATTTGTTCCAGCAGACAATACTCCTCTATCCACTGTAGGCACTATTTCCTAAGTAAATCCTGCATGCCGTGCTTCCATTTTTTAGTTCATGCTCTGTTTTCTGCCGAAATAATTTGTCCTTGTGCTTTTGCCTGTCAAAATCTCTAGCTCATCTTCAAGTTCCAGCTCCAGTGATACCTTTTTCAAACCTTTAAACTCAGTTCACCATTGCTCATTCTCTTCTTTCCTTCTATAGCACATTTTGAAAAATACTACCCTATTATAGCACCTACCACAGCCTGATATATGATGCCTTCTTTTCTCCAAAAGTAGGACTTGAATCTACTCATTGCAGTGTTGCTAGCACATGCACAGTGCTTGCAGCGGGTTCATAAATATTTGCTGAATGAAATTGCAATGGTCTAGGTCAGAAATAATGTGGATAGAAACTAAGGCCATATAATGGAAATGGAACATGCATTTCAATAATTAACTTAACTGATGTGTTTTTCTTTTGTGTTTTTCTCCGTGGGGACATTTGGAGGGCTACACTGAGCATCATCGGATGGCATGGGAATCTGTCTCATGGCTAATAAGCCCCTTCCTAGGGAAAAGCTGGGTGGTGCAGGGTGGCCATGGGTCAAGACCCAGCTCAGTTACTTATAAAACCGAGCACATTTCATTTAACCTCTTCACAATTCAATTTACTCATCACTAAATTGGGACTAATACTTTAATTGGAACACTGTTGTGAAGATCAAAAACAATTAACATCAAAGGAGGAACTCTGTAAACATACCAGTTATAAAAACTCCCCTGTAATAACTATGGGCTCCTAACACAATGACACATTATAAGATGGTTAAAACTGCAAGATGGCTTAGACACATCTGTGCTCAAAATCTGCATCACCCTTTTCTAGCTATATGGCCTCAGGCAAATTAACTAAAAAAGCTCTAAGCTTTATTTTTCTAAAAGGGGTTGATTTAGGGGGAAAAAAGCTGAGTGAATGTTAAGTGCCTACATAATGCTAAATAAATGTGAGATATAAAAGTAAAGAATCAACCTCCTGAGAAGTTAAAGAAATTAAATATATAAAATTACTATTTCAATAATTTAGCACATAATAAATCTTCAATAAATATTAGCCATAATAAAGATATATAATATGTAGATATAACATACATAAAATAATTATAAGCTGTATTTGAAATATAAAAGAGATTCTAGTGACATCTTTTCCTTTTTCTTTCATTTTTTTTTAACCAGTACCAGTATTTCATGACAGTAAATGGTCTGTAAAACTCAAGAGGAGACAGACATAACCTATTATTAGTAGAGTGGGCTGAATTCATATATGAAAAAATAATATATACACAATCCCAGAATGACTAAACTTGAATGTGAAAAAATAAACACAAGTCTCATTGCTCACACGTACCTTTGACACAGACATATTATATACACACCATACTTCATCTGTGATTTTTCTCCAGAGAAACACGTTATCACCTGCAGTTATGTAGTCCATTTACAAAAACCTCTGTAAACAGGTGTCAGGATGCAGTGACACTAGGTATTTAACAAAAATCTATAGTCTGGTCGTAAGGTTTAATTTTGTTGACAGCAGAGTTAATGATTGAATATTTGATAATAAAAACCTATAATAAAAACATGTATAAAATTACTATATATGAAAATAAGCACATATTTACTGTGAATAAGCACATATTTACTGTGAAGTAGTAATGAATATAAAAGGAAAAATAATGGGAAAATATAAAATAATAATTGACTTTATAACTTCTATTTTAGCGAAGTTTGTATTTTTACTTTTCTAATAATATAAATAATAATGTACATTATAAAATATTAGTAAAAATATATGATATCTGGAAGAAAAAAAGAACACTTATAGTCTTTGTGAAGGGAACAGCATTCAATCTCAGGCTCAGTTAACTTGTAGCCAGCAAAGGATAGAGAGCCTAGTAAGTGCAGAAAATGCGGCCGTTATTTCAGTCACTGAGGTCTGCATTTGGTGATAGCCTAGTACATGTACTTCTGCAAGGTTGTATTCAACTTATGATTACAATAGCAGTTTTTCATTACATTGCTTGAGTGCATGACAATGTCCAATGATTGTACTGGGAGCACAGGAGAAAGGAGATTTTAGAGGAGAAGAAAGTATTTTAGGGGATCACGGACAAAGATTAATCACTGCATCATTTTTCATAGAAGGCAACCCTGATGGCACTTTCTTCAAGGTTTGCACTATTCAACAATTGTAAAGGCCAATAGTATTTGCCGTGTGGACTAGGGGTAATGTGGGCCTTGCGTAAAGACTGTTTTATTTAATACTCATGTTTATTCTCATATAAAGTGCGTAAGTGTGCGTATATGTTTGTATAAAGTTTTGAAGAAAATTTGAAGAAACAGTTTGATGTATGTAATCTCAAGTAAAGGTTAAGTTCAGAAAGTTTCAGAATATAAAAATGTACACAGCATATAGAATGAAATAGAGAGTCGTGCTATTTTACTCGTCATCTAAGTTGGGCTCCCTTCTGCCTGAAATGAAGCAACGGTAAAAACCAGGTTGTCCTCTTATGATCTCCTAACAACAAAAAGGTCAGAGCAGAAAGAAAAACTTGTAGCAGAGTTTCACAGTAACACTTAGAAGCAGCAATAAGATCATTGGGTTACTAACTGCACATTTACCTATTCTTCTAGCACGGCTGTGGGAACTTCGTCCGCGTGATTCAGGCTTTCAACCGCACTCATTTGTATGTTTGTGGGAGCGGTGCCTTCAGCCCAGTCTGTACTTACTTGAACAGAGGAAGGAGGTCAGAGGTAAGTGTGACATTTTTTTCATTCTTAGCTTTGGTTAGTGTCAACAGTTACTTAAAACTGCATTTTACAGTAAAACTTTAGAAATATCATCAGTAGTCATAAAATAGTTTCAAGCCCTGTAAACATAGAACATGTTCCATTTTGTATGTGTCCATCAAGTTACTTAAAATACTGTCTTTTGCCTTTCATTATATGTGTATGTATATATATATATATATAATGTCTTTTGCCTTTAATTTCATATATATATATTGAGAATGGGAAATTACAAAAAATAAAAATGATGTGGTTTCATAATTAATTAGAATACAAGATGCTTATAATATTTGCTGCAAATTATAGAAATATTATACTATACTTTCTCAATCTATTTTAAATAATTTCTTATTTATGTTTAAACTTGGTAAACTTTTATGATATAAACACTTGTAAGAGATGTATAAAACAGGATGCCAAGTGCCTGCTGAGGAAAACTTTATGTAATTAATAAAACCAAATTTGATTTTAGACTAACAGCAGTCTACCAGCCTTATTCTAGGATATTTTAGCCCTATTCCTACATCGGTTAAAATGATTTGGGGTTCTATGAACAACAGTATCTTTTAAGATTAAATATACAGTTAGTGAATAGTCAACTGTATGGCTGGTTCAGCCTCACTTGTGATGTTTAATGCTGTGTTTATCCCACTTCACAATTATTGACTAATTATTCATTAGCCCAAAAGTGTCTTTCCTCGTTCTGTTAGTCAAATGTGTTGCTTTATTTAATGTACGTATTTTAAAAACTGAATTTTTTCAAAATATCTGGCTTTGGTTTCTTTATGCAACTTAAATCTAGAAAATCTAGTTCTTAAATAATGTTTTAGTTCAATTTTACAGATAAGAATTTTAAAAAATTAAATATTGCTACTGATATTTTCCTTTAAAACTGATTGTTTTCCTTTAACAAAAATTAATCTACTTTAGTATGAATATAATTGAACACTCTCTCTATATTCTTTTATTATTAATTTTTTCAGACATGTAATTTATGCATATATAATTTTTGGTGAATAAAAAGTCACTTAAAAATACCTGGGTAATTACAATTTGACCCATCCTGAGACATTTCTGAGTGGTTCAAGGTAATATGAAATATTAAAATTCTTAAAGAAATGTAAAGTTATACTTCTTGGAAGAGTACAGTCAGCTGCACTGAGCCTGTCATTAAAACCACATGCCTGTGATCAATTGACTAAACAAACCACTGCCCCAGACATCTGCAGTCTGTCCAATACTCTGCTAAAGACTGCACAGTCACTGCACAGGCCAACAATAGCATCACAGTTTTCAGAACACAGATTTCAAGTGAAATCATTTTCCCATGTACAAATCGCCCACTATGCAGTACAAGACTTAATTAGAAAGTCAGTCAAAAAATAATAATCTCCTTGTTAAACCAGCATGGAATAAATTTTAATCACTTTACTAGATACGAACTACTTTAGCCTCACTTCTAAGGATGTTTCAAAGAGGATGCATTTCCATTAATTAATCTCTGTAATAATATATGAACATGTTAAGAGTGAATTTCAGTATGTAAAGGGTTATGAATTTTAAGCTTTATAATGCTTTCTTTGGTAGTCAGCTCAAAGGATTTTATTATAATATTATATTTATATACATATTTATAGTAAATATAAAATGCAGTTTTATCCAACATCCATTCATTTTCTTTAGTTTAGGAAAAAAGGTCCCCTAGCATAAAATTACCACATGATGCAGAGTTGTAGTTGGAAAGAATTTCCCTTCTTATTCATCACTAACACTGTGTTTTGTAATGACGAGAGGTACTACTTACTGCTAGCATCCTGTGTTATTACTAAGATATGTCATTTTTCATGGATTTGAAACCAGTTTGAAAGAGAGCCAGGTTAGAGTGGAGTACTCATTAAATATTCAGCTTTATTTCTGTGACACAGTACCCACCCCCTTCTGTCTGCCTGTTAAGTTGCAATTCATTGGTTCTCAGAGAATATCTTATGCACCCACTTCACATTTGGAACACACACACTTCTTATACCCTGTTACCTTCCTGTTATTTAGCCAGACTGATTCAGAACTTTCCTAGAGCATTTTAACAGTGTCCATCCAAAGAGCCTGCAGTCCTTGCTACATCAATTCCTAACCATATGGTTCTTTTCTTTTATCTGCTATCTTTGTTCTCTGTCTTCTGTTCCCAGAAAAAGTTAAAGCAATACATAAACAGTGATTTAAAATTAAAAATAAAACATCAAGCCAAAACAAGTGTTGGGCTATCACAACACGTTATCTCTGGTTGATTTTATTAGACTGTCCATGGGATCAGTTCCAACAACTAAATATCGAGCCCCCAACTCTGCCACTCCTGAAGCATCTACCCTCACCTCTGGCTGACCAAGAATATCATAGAAAACCAAGAGTATCACATGAATTCAAATCATTTCTTGTACTTTTGAAGTAAATCAGCCACCAAACTATTCTGTTTATGCATCTTTGTAGCTTTCCTTTTGTCAGAAGAAGAGTTGTGCATTTCCTACCAATAAGTTTCTTTGATTAATAATCTTTATCCTGTTTTATGTCTTCATTCCTTTTCCCTTGCATTTAGATTTTTTCTATTTAAAAATAGGATTATGTTTTCTTTGCTTATATTGTTATCTTGAATCCTAAACTTTTTTTAGACACTTCTCCTTTTTTTCTCTGTACTTATACACAAACCTCTTTGACTAATAGGCTAGACTTTCACATCAGTAACCAAATTGACTCCCCAAATCGGCATTCTTTCCCCTAGACCATTCTATAACATATCAGTCATGCCCTCTATTTTTTAATGTCTTTACTGTCATATATAAACATCAGATGTTTTCCTGTGCCTTCATCCCTTGATTCTTCATCACCGACTCTCTTCTGGTCCTATTGTTTTTTCTTGTTGATTCAAACTATGAATACATATTAATTTAATAAGAGTGATGGCAGAAAAAAATCATGTCAGAACATGCTAGCTATTTTTAAGATATTGGTCTTTCTGCTGCATCAAAGAAGAGGCAGCTGTAACAATCCTTTTTTTCATGTTTAAATTATTTTTATTTTTCAATTACCGTTGATATACATTATTATATTAGTTTAAGGTGTTTAGTGATTACACATTATATAACTAAGTGATCATCCCAGTTTATCTCACACACATCTGATGATATAGGTAGTTATTAGAGTATTATTGACTATATTCCTTATGCTATATTTGACTATTCTATAAAACCAATTTGTACTTCTAAATCCCTTCAGTTTGTTCTTCCATCCATCAGATCCCTCTCCCTTCTGACACCCTTGTCTGTTTATTTTGTTTTTAGATTCAGTTGTTGAAAGATATGTGTTTATTGGCATTTTGTTGTTCGGATTTTTCTTCTTCTTTTCCTTCAAGAAGACTCCTTAGCATTTTACATAATACTGGTTCAATGGTAATTAACTCCTTTAGCTTTTTCGTGCCTGGGAAGATTTTTATCTGTCTTCTGATCAGGAATTATTGCTTTGCTACATAGAGTAATCTTGGTTGTAAGCCTTGTTGTTTATCACATTGAATGTTCCTTGTCCCTTCTGACCTGCAAGGTTTCTGTTGGGAAATCAACTGATAGTATTATGGGAGCTCCATGTAGGTGACTAACCACTTTTGCTACTTTTAAGATTCTCTTTTTGTCTCTAACTTTTTGCATTTCAATTATGATGTGTCTTGGTGTGGACCACTTTGGGTTCATCTTGTTTAGGACTCTATGCCTTTCCCAGATGTTTGTTTTCTTCAGCAGGTTAGGAACTCTTTCCGTCATTATTTTTTCAAATACTTTCCAATTTCTTGCTCTCTTTCTAGCACCTCCATGATGCAAATATTGGCACGCTTAAAGTACTCTCAAAAGCTCCTTAATTAGTCTTAGTTTTTTGTATTTTTTTCTTTTTTTCTGTTCTGATTGGGTGTTTTCTGCTTCCTTATCTAGCACATTGCTGATTTGATTCTCAGCTTCATGTAGTATTCTACTGATCCTCTATAAATTATTCTTTATTTCAGTGAGTGTATCCTTCATTTCTGACTGGTCCTTGTTTATTCCAGTGATGTTAAGTTCATTGAGTGTCTTTATAACCAGTGTTTTAAACTCTGTATCTAGTAAATTGCTTGTCCCCATATTTGGCCCACATTTAGTTCCTTTTTTGGACTTCTGTTCTTTCATTTGGGACATGTTTTTTTTTTTCTCTCCGCATTTTGGCAGCTTCCCTGTGTTTGTTTCTATGTATGAGTATTAGAGCTGCTACACCTCCCAGGCTTGGTAGGGTGGCCTAATGTAGTAAGTGTTCAGTAAGGGCCAGTGGCACTGCCTCTCTGATCACCCAAGCTGGGTGCTTAAGGCTCTGTGTGGGCTGAGTATACCCTCCTGTTATAGTTGAGTCTTGATTGCTGTTGGCATGTCAATGGGAGGGATTTACCCTCAGAATAATCAGCTACAAGGACTGGCTTTTACCAACAACTACCAACCTCCAACCACCATGGAAGATCAGCTGTGCAGAGGCGCACCCTGCAAGACTTACTTCCATGGGGCCCTAATATCCACTGAGTCTGCCGCTCAAGTATGTAGCTTGTAGGCTTGTAGTGGTGGTTCAGAGGTAGTGCCTCAATATCATCTGAAGCTGTCCACAGGATGTGTGGGCTCTGGGACCTCCCACGTGGTATAGGCCACAGTCAGCCACAGCCTGGTTCTGCCTGGAGCCACCCAGCATGCCCTAAAAAGCAATCTGCAAACGGCTCCTACTTGCACTGGGCTTGGAGGTGCCCAGGCAAGGCTAAGCTGTGAACCAAAGCCAGCTGCTGCTATTGCTAGGTCTGGGGCCACTTAGCAAAAGTTATGAGGCATGCTAAAGGCCAGATGCTGCTTGTCTGGGAGATTTTAGGAAACCTGAAGCATGAGCCAAGACAGGACCTTCATTCGGAAAATCCATGAAAGCAGCTTGGATGGGCCTAACAGCTGGGAGGGGTAGAGCCTCAGGGAATCACCCGAGTGGGGCAAACGGTGTGAGCCCTGCTGATGGAGTCTCCGATAAGGTACCTGCCTGCTGGCTCTGTGAGGGCAGGGCTTAGCAGAGGAACAATTTCCTCTGTCAGCACTTCTGCCTGAGAGAAAACTGCCCTCCAGCTCTTGCCCTGATGCCAGACACTTCATTTCCTCCCTGTATGTCTCTGATGCCTTTGAAGCTGCCGCCCCAGTGCTGGAGCTCAGAGGGAGTGAATCCAAGTAAGTCTGTGTGTGGGCCTGTTAAGAGGAATTGCCTGGTACTTTAGAATCCCTTTGTCTCCCTCGTCCTCAATTCCCTCTGTTTTTTATAGCCAGAAGTTATGGGGACTTCTCTTCCTGGCACTGGAACCCTGGGTTAGGGGCTTGGTGTAGGGCCGAGACCCCTTGCTCCTCAGAGGCAATCTCTGGAGCTAAGATATCTCTCCCAATTTTTATCTGCCACACATAGGTATGGGACCAGCCAGTTCCTCTTCTCTGCACCTCCTAATAGTCTCAGTATGGCTTCTTCTTTAACTTCCTAGTTGTAGGACTTCTGTTCAGCCACATTTCAAGTGATTCTGAATGATAGTTGTTCTGTAGATTAGTTATAATTTTGATGTGGTTGTGGGAGGAAGCAAGTACTGTATTTACCTCATTCCTGGAACATGCTTAAGCTGAAAATGGCTTGAGCAGAATTGTCACTTGTGTATGTTACAGATAATCTATGGTAGGGAGTATTTGGGAGGCCTGTGGTAAGATAAATTACAGAGTTGATATAGTAGGCCAGCAGAGGGATTATTATACTCAGGTGGTAGCAATGAAGACAAGAGAATTAGGCACAAACTGCACAATAAATATAGATGATATTGGTGGGTTTAGCTAAGAGGAAAGAAAAATAATATAGATGGTGACAATTTTGTTGCTTGTTTTTGATTATTTATTTGTTATTTTTGGTCTTTTTAATTAAATAGTTGCCATGAACTGAGATGTGAAACAGTGAAAAGAACCATGTTTGAGGTTAAGATTATGAGCCTTAGTTTGGTTTTGTTGAATGTGAGATGCTGTTGCAAGTTGATATTTCAATTTGGCATATCAAGTAGGCAGTTGAATATAAAGTAGGTTATATAAATGTTTGTGTCATTGTTTTATTAAGGCAGCTGAAGCCCAAAGAGTGGGGTGAATCACACAGGGAGAGGACAGTGTGAAAAGAGAAGAATGACTATAACTCAGAAGTGAGGATCTCCTGACTTTAATGGCCAAATGGAGAAAAGGAGACCAACCATCAAGTAGTACTAAAAAGAAACAGCCAGAGAAGTAGGGGGAAAAACAAGAGTGTGTTGGTTCTGGGAATAAAAATAGTCATTTTGAAAAGGCAAAAGTGAGCAACCATTTATAATACCACTGACAGTCCAAGTAATACCAGGTGTAAAAAATAAGCACTGAATTGTGTAGCATGACTGTGATTAAGAGCCTTATCAGAAAGAGTTTCACTAGAACAATTGAGGTTGAATGCCCAAATAAAGTGGACCGAGAAGACAGTAAAAAGTCAGGAAATGATGGTGAGTACATGTTAGTCTTTAAACAATGTGACTCTGACAGAAATATGTAGGAGCTGAAGGGATTGTTTAGATGATGATGTAAAAGGTCCAGTTAACAAGGTCAAAGAAAGAAAAGAGATGATGGAAATTAAAAGTTGCCTAAGAAGACTAGAAGAATTGCTGGAAGGATTGGCCCCAGAATAAGAGAAATAGTTTCTCTCATGTATTATTGGATATATTAGAGAATATACATATTTATGGGTTTGGTAGTTTAAAGTTGAATACATCTCATTTAAGGTTTTCACTTTCTGAGGAATGTGGTTATTAATCATATGAGCTGAGAATAAGTTAGGAGATTTGACTAAAGTGGCAATGGTTTGAAATTATTAATAGGAGAACTATTGACAAGAGCATTCTTGAAATCCTGCTGAGCAGGGGGTCCATTTCAGGTTGGTGGTCACAAATATATACTATGTTGAATATACTTTGTTGAATCACCTTCTGCTAAGAAGTTTGGAGGCAAGTATGGAGAATGTGGGTAGACATGGCCTTCCAGGCAGTGAGTGCCATGAAAAAAATTCATAGATTCAAAGAATTTTAATATTTTTTCAAAAAATATTGAGTTATACAATAGAAACTGGTTAATAAAGAAGAGAAAAGACTGATGAAATGGAAAAAATAGAGTTCTTGGGAGATGAGTGTGAAGAATTGTTGCAGAGTGCTTGACTTAGTGATATTCAGGTGGACCGTGTCCCTTGCTGGTCATGACAAGGTCTGGATTATAAGCACATGAGTCCAGGAGCACTACACAGGGGTGGGGTAGGTCAGTAGGGAGTGAGTAGTAGCTACAGAGTCTCACCAATGCCTGCAATGCCAACTCACTTGTTTAGTCAAATCTATGTACGTCTCTGACCAAGGGATCACAAACAGGCTTACTAATTTTATTGTTTTTCCTCAAGTTTATCATTACATATTTAGTGTAGTCATTATATCAATGATGGCTTTTTGGAAATAAGATGTAGCTAGGAGCCAGGAGACTGAGTTTTAATTTTTCTTGTGTTGCTGTTTAGCTACAGGATCTTGGCAAGTTATATTTTCCTCAACTGTAGACTTAATTCATCAAAGAGGATCGTGTTGTAGGATCATGTAAGCCCTCTGGCCTCAGGGATGTTATGCCAATATATTGAACTCAATATAACAAAAATGAACTTGCTTTATTTTCTAGAACGATTCAAAACTTCAGAATCGCCATTGTTTTGTCATCTTCCTGAACTTCACCCAGTTTGAAATTGAATGCCAAACTCTGTTAATCTCCACTTTACAAATTCTCTTGTATCCTTACTGCTCTTACCATGCCCACTGAGATTGTTACATCAGTTTACATTATCTGAGCCCTTGACTATTGCAACTGAAGACAAATCTACTTTCTTGAATCCATCCTCTGTTTTTATAACTGGCATTCTCAGTCTTCTTAAAGCACAAGGGAAGGCCCAATCTTCCTAAGGCAGCGCTCTGGTCCTTTTATTTGCATACCCCAAAACACTGCAGCTGCCTTCCTCTCAGCTGCAGATAATTTTGAAAAACTTAGCTGGACAATTAAAGACCTTCATTATCTAATGCAATCAACAAAACTGATACTTTTTTCTTAGAATTTAGGCGGTAGCTTCATAACTCATACAAGGAAAAGATAAATATTCCAACAAAATGTTCCCTCAGTGAAGCTACACTGATCATTATATTTCAGATGAGCCCTTGGTCCTCAGTCCATGGGCTTTTCTAGTCCCATTCCTTGCTTAATATTTACTTTAAGCACTGAGCACCATCTAACGGACTCTACATTTTATGTATTTATTGTCTTTATATTTTATACTTCATATTTATATTCTTTATAGTATATTACAAATTCCTTGAAGGAAAAGATACTTGTCTATTTTGATTACTGTGTCCCCAGTATATTACCAGTGCCTGGCATTGAGGATGCTCACCATATTTTTGTTAAATAAATAAGTAAATATGATATTTTATCTATTATAAATTATTGTATTTAATCTAATGCTTTAATAACAAAATTAGGTGGTAACAAAATTTTATATTTAAAATGTCTTGATTATTTTAGAAATATTATAATCCTATACACATTGTTCTTCTGTGGGCACTTTCTACTTTTGGTCAATTTTCAACTTATTCAGATTTACAATAATTCTTGATGTCCAAGTGCGCTTTACTAATGCTGATTTGGAGAAAATGTGTTGGTCAAGGAATGTAAAAGGAGTCAATGCTGAGGTTAGCTTGTAACTTATAGATGGATTCTTCTATAGACCAAGATAGTCTTCATATAGTAAACTGGGAAGACTTAAGCAACCAAGTAGAAAGCTTACTATTTATGATAATACTTTTTTTTTTACTAAAAAACCCAATTGATTAACTAAATATAAAGCTATGTATTATTACTTTTCAATTTTGTCTGCACTAAAGGACCAAGTTTTCGTGATTGACTCCAAGTGTGAATCTGGAAAAGGACGCTGCTCTTTCAACCCCAATGTGAACACAGTATCTGTTATGATCAGTAAGTGGAAAGTAGGAGGAGGAGGAAATGAAAAAGGATCAAGGAAAAATAATTCATGAGAGAGTATGCCCATTGAGATCATTGCAGTAAGAAACATGTGCTGACAAATAGAAATTTTAGTTTCTCATTTTCAAGTATATCTATGATAAGCATGTATTTTGTCTTCTAACATGAAAGGGCTGTTGTTCCTAAAACGAGTCAACAATTTACAAAAAAGCATGTATATGCATGTATATACTGTTATATATTATAAAGTAATGTTTAATGTTTTATGTAGTATTTTTCTAGTATTAAATATATCCACTTTTCCTCATGTTTAGTGATCTTTTACAAATGATTAAAAAGGGTGTTACTCTCTAATGAAAGGCTACCGAAGTGCATGTGTTACCCAAATATATTCTCTGTGGATTGTTAAATTGCTATACTGAAAGAGAGGTGGTGGTAGAGTCACTTTTTCATTTTGTCACTTTCCATAAAATACATCAGCTAAGTCAGCTAAAAAGTAGGCCCCATTGTTTGCTAGTACATACGCCGATAAATCAATGTCTTTGAGTTTCAAACATTGAATGCTTTTCTATAACTCAATTAAAAGGCATTCTCTTCTGGTTAATTATAACAGTTTAGAATATCTGGTTTAACAGAGTTGACTGTGAAGATGAATCTGGGATTCCAGTATTGACTACACAGTAGACGCTTTCCCCTGTTTGCTTTCTGTATGTATTGCCAATGGTAAAATTACATCATTTGACAATAGAACAGGTGGGAAAATAATTTTTGTGGTCAAAATGCTTTGCTTTGATTCATTTAAAGAGGCAACCAATCCATCTTTCTTTCTCATATCTGGAAACTAAATTACAACTGGTACATCTAGCTCTGACTAAAATGTAACCTTGGAAGTTATCCAATGAATTATTTCCATATATATGTCATTCAAATTGGGCAAGGAGGAAATGAAACTATATCAATCATTAGGACAAAAAAAGTTAGAAACTTTTGAAGCTAACTACAAGATCTCCAAATGTGTCTGATGCAGAGTCTTTTCAGATAATTTTCTAAATATTCAGGAGTAATATCTGAAAAAGTCTCTTCTTCAATAGGAAGGAAATTTTATTTACCTTTAGAAATTCTATTATATATAAAATGTAAATAGATATTACTAGTTCATTATACAGAGTTTTCATTTATTTGAAGTTAAATGCTTTGACAATAAACTTCAAAGGTCAGTTAACACTAATACTATAGTTTTATCTCATCAAATATTGTTTAGAACAATAAGGGTGAGAACAAGGCATAATTAATCTTACTATTAAACTGTGATAAGCCACTAAATAGTTTTTTCCTTAGCAAATTGGATCTTTTTTTTTTTTTACAAAATTGAATTTAGGTATCGGCCTTCATTTTTGAACAACCGGAGTCTTTGATTCCTATGTGCCTGTTCCTGAACTACCTTTTAATATCTCAATTAACACTGTAATTTATACTATAACTGAAAGTCATTAAATGATTTACTTAACTTAAAATGAAACCAAAATGAGCAGGAGGCTTTATAAACTCTTATTTACCATTTTCTTTGTTCTGATGATTATCCCCTAAAATCATCTCCAGTATCAGCGCTAATAGTGCATAGTAGGTTTGTTCAGTCCGCTCGCTCTGCCCCGCAGTGCCTTACACTTCTGTTCAACTGCAGTCCACTAAATAACACAGGTTGGTTCAAATATTTCTACCAAAGTGCCAAGAAGTGTTGGGAATTTGAATTCCAGTTTTCACAATGCAGGTGTGGCATCTAACCAAATGTGCAAGTTTAGGTATTTTTGCCATTTTAGTCATTGTAGCACAACCAAAAATCAGATACATCTTTTAAAGAACCTGTCATAAACCCTGTGACATTTTTCTGGCTACTGGAAGTACAGTTGAAAAGTAAAACATTTCTGGATTAAAGCTAAAGGGCACAAGTTTATCTTTGCATATGTCCTACAAAGAAATTCTTCAATAAGTACCCTATTCTCAAAATTCTTCCCAAATGATATTGATTAAATATTTCTTATACAAAATAAAAGTTACTTTATTGTTCCCTATTACTGAGAATGTAAGACAGAAAATAAAGACAGACGTGGGCTTTGATAATGTTTAATATCAGGTATGTAAAAAACAACAAGATTTTATAATCTAATAATTTGGGGATAATTGGGTAAAGCAAAAGTGACATAATTACAAAGGTATCTCAATTTAACAATCAATGTATCTACAGAATACTTGTGTAGATGTTATAAATATTCACAGAATTTTAGAGAGGTTAAACTGGTCAGATACTTTTCTGCACATTTTTGTTATCTCCCTCTAATCTGTTCCCAGGGGATTTAGACCCCTACCAGGAATCACAGCCGGGTGACACAGTTCCTGTCATACCCCCATGCTAACCAGTAGGGGTTCAGCCCATGACCCGATGAACACATATTAAAACATTCCATTCTCCAGTCTATCTTGGGCCAGTTGGAACTGTGAATAAGCAGTGAGCTTAGAGTGCTTCAGCATGTTCCAGGTCTGCCACGATGACCACAGTCTGAAAGTGGCCAGGGAGTAATTCTGGATTGTCAGTGAAAGAGCACAGCTGCCTGGTGGTTCAGTGGGACAGACCTGAGCAATTTTATTGGTTTTTAAACAGATAATTAACTACTATGTTATTTTCTAGGGTCACACATATCCTTTCAATAGTTATTCTTTTCACTAACATAAAAGTTAATATGGATAAACTAAATGTTAAATGTTATATAAATACAGATCAAAATATGTTTTGTCATCAATAATGATAATTTAATTTAATTTTAAAATATCTTTTCTCTCTTGTCTCTACATTCTGTTTTTTATGGCTTAGTATGTTAAGCCATATGTAGCTTATTAACATAATATTATATTATTAATGTTAATATATTATTTTATTAACTTAATGTTAATATATTGTTTTATAAGTGAAAATGTAACACTTTATTTACTTTATAGACACCTACCATGGAAAATCAAAATGTGTACTTTTAATGATGAAATTATATCATTAATAGTATTTTGAAAATATTTAATGTTGTCTTGCCTCTATGTCATTAATAGTAATAATAATTATTATTTTCAATTTATTTATAAAATTATAGAATTCCTAATGCGTGGTGAGAACTTGTAAGGTTATAATTCAATTCCTATATTTTACAGATGAGATGATTAAATGATTGATCCTAATTCCCAGTTTGTTTATTACTACCAAAAATAGAAACCAAGTTTTCTGACTTCTACAGTGCTTTTATTAAAACAAAGTAATGATTATCTGGCTGGTGTAGCTCAGTGGATTAAGCATGGGCCTGTGGACCAAAAGATTGTGGTTCGATTCACAGTCAGGGCACATGCCTGGGTTGCAGGCCAGTTCCCAGCAGGGGATGCATGAGAGGCAACCATACGTTGATATTTCTCTCCCTCTCTCCTTCCCTTTCCCTCTAGAGATAAATAAATAAATAAAATAAAATAAATAATTAAAAAAGAACAAAGCAATAATTAATTAAGCTATTGTGTTATCTTCTATACATATATTATTTTTGCCATTTCTGATGTACAGTATATAAACATAGATATTTAGTCAAATTAAGTACAAGCAGAGGAACTTTTATTTCTATGTAGAATAAGGTTTTGATATTCATACAGTCTATAAGGAAACCAGATTAAACTTTATCCAATTTTTTATTTGGTGGACAACATAAACCACTTAGCAATTATAAACACTCTATAATGTGTGTGATGATCTAATGATCAAGTTCTGCTTGATTTTTAAAATAGCCTTAATAAACATTTACAGTTGTGTTGGCAATTTCTTTCTTGTAGATGAAGAACTCTTCTCTGGAATGTATATAGATTTCATGGGGACAGATGCTGCTATTTTTCGAAGTTTAACTAAAAGAAATGCAGTCAGAACGGATCAACACAATTCCAAATGGCTAAGTGGTAAGAAAATATTTTCTATATTTTCAGAATGATTCTTTAAAGCAATTCATTTAACCCCATAATGAAAACTAGGTAAAAGTGGTCAAAAATTATAGTACCATGTCATGAGTAACAATAAATCAGTAATTTATGATTAAAAATTTTTATGATAAATAAAAAATTGAAATAGACATAATTTGTTAACCATCATACCATTATCATAAGATATATGAATAAATTAAAATGACAGTGATATTTATCATACATACCTGTACACAAGAATCTCCTCTAGTTGTTTAAGTATAACATATTTATTTATTTAGACAGTTTTATATTTTAATAATGTCAAAGTTCAATTCTTTAATTTTTGACTTTATTATAAATTATAAATTTATGAAAATGAGTGTGGTATATTCAGAAACTTCCAATATGTTTTATATTTAGATTCTAAATTATAGAACTGCTAAATGTTATGTTTTCATAATTTGATTAATGCCTAATAGAAGTCAAGCATAATGATTTTATGATTGTCAGTCCTTGACTGCTTCCGGTTCTTGGGAGCACATGGAATTCACATCAGAAAAGGTGCACATTTGACTTTAATGCACAGTTTCAATGAGCTGCTATTGTTTAGAGGAGGAAGAAACCTCTAAGTTCTTTGTCATTTCACCCTGGGGAAAATTTCTAACTTGCCCTAAATTTGGCAATTCACTTAACATTACACAGTTAGGCATCTTGTTTCAACTGGTAGGCCAGCACAAGAAAGCACTGATTGTCCATTTTCTTATTCAAATTATTTCTCCAGTACATCTGGAAATAGAGTATGCTAAAAGTTGTTTTGTTCTTGAAATAAGAAATCCCTCTATGTCTTCAAATGACATAATTTTGTTGAAAAGTTTTTTCTTCATTTCATAGACTGTATTTTCTGAAAAATGTGTTTTTTAGATCTTGGACTCCGGACTCCCCATTCTGCTTCAAAGAGTTTGAGTTTATATATACTAGATTGAAAACCATACTTTAAAAAACAAACTTTTTTTCCCTATAAAATAACTATCAGATTCCATGGGAAATAACTGCCAGAAAAGTTATTCAATTTTTAAAACTAATCAGTATACAGAGATTTTTTTTTTTGGCATTCACTGAACTTTCAGAATGTATTGCAGACAGAGAAAGATAGTTTGAGCTGTCGTATTATAGCTGTATTTTGTGGCACTTGACATTCCAACTGTGGTATATTGACTGAATACAATTGCTGCTTTTAGACTTTTTGCCTATAAACATCAGATTATTTTTTTTTACCAAAGATGAAGAAGGCATGTGTCTGTGGTCTATTTGGATGAACAGTAGATGAATTTTTTTGTCATGAGTATATATTATAAACAGTCTTTGCAATTCTTTTAGAACCTATGTTTGTGGATGCACATGTCATCCCAGATGGAACTGATCCAAATGATGCTAAGATTTACTTCTTCTTCAAAGAGAAACTGACTGACAATAGCAGAAGCACAAAACAGATTCATTCCATGATTGCTAGAATATGTCCTGTAAGTATTAACATTGTTTTTAAGTTCAATTTATTGAAACTTAAAAAAAGCAAAAAAAAAAATTACCCTTTTCATCATTTCTTCTACTCTAACCCTGTCTCTTGCAACCACTGATCTCGTCTCTATATCTATGAGGTATTTTTCGTTTATTTAAATATCACATATAAAAGAAATGATACAGTATTTTTCTTTTTCTGTGTGACTTATTTCTGTTAGCATAATGTCCATCCACATTGTCGCAAACAGCAAGATTTTATTTTTTATGGCTAAATAGTGTTCCATTGTGTATATACGTTTCTTTATTTATTTGTTGATGGACACTGATGTTATTTCACCATATTAACTATTATAAATAATGCCACAATTAACATGGGGTGCATCTTTTTGCACTAATGTTTTTATTTTCTTCAGATAAATAACTGGAAGTGTAATTGCTAGATCGTGTGATAGTTGTATTTTTAATTTTTTGAGGAACCTTCACACTATTTTCCATAGTAATTGTGCCAACTCATATTCCCACTAACAGTGCACAAGGGTTCTCTTTTCTCCACATCCCCGCCATAAGAACTCATTTCTTATCTTTTTAATAATAGCCATTCTAACATGTGTGATGTGGTATTTCATTTTGTTTTAGATTTGTATTTCCTTGATAACTAGTAATGTTGTCCATCTTTTCATGCACCTGTTGGCCATCTGCATTTCTAGGTCTTCTTGAGGAAATTTCTATTCAGATTTTCTGCCAATTTTTAATTGACTTTTTTTGGCTGTTGAGTTGTGTGAGTTGTGTATAAATTTTGCATAACATCCCTTATCAGACATATGATTTACAATTATTTTTTCTGTTCAGTAGGTTGCCTTTTCATTTTATTTATAGTTTTCATTGCTGGGCAAAAGCTTTTTAGTTTGAGCTAATTACACTTGTTTATTTTTGCTTTTGTTGCTTTGATTTTGGTGTTGAATTCAGAAAATTATCTCCAAGACCTATGTCAAAGAGCTTACTGCCTATTCTCTTCTAGGAATTTTATGGTTTCAGGTCTTATGTTCAGGTCTTTGGTCCATTTTGAGTTAGCTGTTTTTGAATGCTGTAAGAAAGTGGTCCAGTTTTATTTTTCTTTTTGCCTGTGGTTGTCAATTTTTCCCGCACCATCTATTGAAGAGTCTATTGTTTCCCCATTTTATATTTTTGGCTCCTTTGTCATAAGTTAATTGACCATATATGTATGAGTTTATTTCTGGGCTCTCCCTTCTGTTCCATTGATCTGTGTGTCTGTTTTATGCCAGTACCACAGTGTTTCGATTACTATAGCTTTGTAGTATAGCTTAAAATCTAGGAGAATGCCAAAAAAATCAGTTTTGTTACTTTTTAATCTAGACTGCTATGGATATTCTAATTTGAAAAAAGATTAAGAACTTTACTTTTTTACTTTTTAAAAATATTATATTTATTTATCTTTAGAAAGGGGAATTGAGGGAGAAAGAGAGGACAAGAAACATCAGTGTGTAGTTGCCTCTCGTGCACCCTCTACTGGGAGCTTGCAACCCAGGCACATGTCCTGACTGGGAATCAAACAGCGACTCTTCGGTTCACAGTCTGGCACTCAATCCACTGAGCCACACCAGTCAAGGCGAAAGACTGAGCACTTTAACTTATATAATATTTTTTCCAGTGGTTTATCTTTCTACTCTTATTACCTACTGTTATAAATTAATAAAATATTCATTGGAGATGTTTGAACTTAATGTTGATTCACATCAACCATAAGAGATAAACACCTTATTTCAACGCAAAGCTCACTTCAAGGAAATATTTTGGTTATGGTTTTATACAAATAAACAATTTTGGTTAATTTTTGCTTTTCTATTTAGTATACTAGTATTAAAAACAAATAGCTAAATTGTATATTACAGAAAGAGAACAATTCTTGCAAATAAAATATAGCAAAACCTTACTAAAAGACAGTTATGGAGGAACTATCTACAACAGTGAAAATTAGGAAATGCTTTCATAAAATACTGTTTTAATTAGAAACATTAACCAAAATATTCTTGTATATAAATGGTAAGTATATATAGCAGCTAAGAGAAAACCTCATGACGTCTGCTCTTATAGTAGTTTTACAGGCTTGTCCTGACATTTATGAATAGCGTTGTTTGTGCAGAATTATTTCTTTTAAAGCACTTAGTGTTTAAAATAGTTTGTTTTTAAATATTGCAATATTCCACTAATAGTGGAGCTCAGTTGCTTCTTAATCATTTGCCCCAATATAGTAAAGCCCACAGAAAGGGCGAGAGGCTTCTTGGCATGCAGAAAAAAGTCACGATATCAACAGAAACTAACTCTCTGTGGATGATCCCAAAGCCATCTTCCCTGTCCTGTGTGTAGAAATATGTGTATTAAAGCATCTGATCAGCAAGAAATACTGAGGAGTAAATGATAACACAGACAAAATGAAGGAGAAAAAAAGAACTTTGGAGGACCATTTGGTGTTAAGTCTTAACCAGCTCTCCTGACCACAGTAGAATATGCAAACTTCACTATATATAATAGTTCCATTCATATTGAAGACAGCGCATTATAAAGAAAAGGCAGATTAAATTACATATGTCCTATAACATTTATTGTTAAGTTTGTAAAGCTTTGGAGAAAATATACATTGACTTTGATTTTTGAAATATTGTCAGTTGATTTCATATGATAGAATAATAATAGTACAGTATAACCTATGGCTATTTTATTACCTACTATGTCTTAAATGTTCCTCTCTCACTTGATATTTGAATGTGGTTTAACATAGCCATCCTTTTGATTGTGATGAATCCCCAGGTAATGAGAACCCAAGCAGAATTTTTAATAGAATTCAATATTTATTTAAGCAAGCTGAAATGTGTTTACAAAACGGTTTCAGAACGACACAGGTGGACTGCGGAGCCTGGTCAACAAGTGGACCACCTTCCTGAAAGCAAGGCTGGTGTGCTCTGTGACTGATGAAGACGGCCCGGAAACTCACTTTGATGAATTAGGTACAGAGGTGTGGATTTGAAAAATGTCTGAAAGGGAGTTTGTAATGTTTATGGAATTTAATAAACTCTCAGAAGAAGATGTCTTTTACATGAATGTTTTTAGCATCAACAGTGTATCCATTGGAATTAACAATCTGGATACTGTTAATAAATTCCCCTAAGTATTTTTTAAACAACATATCAATTTGAATTGATGATCTGGATACTGTTAATAAATTTTCCTAAGTATTTTTTAAATCTGTTTTGTCCCTGAATGCATTGCTAATACATTTAGTTCTTAAATTCGCCAGGTATATGAATGAGTGTGTGTGTGTGTGTGTGTGTGTGTGTGTGTGTGTGTGTGAGAGAGAGAGAGAGGGAGAAGAGTGCTTGTATACTTTATGTATACATAATGATATATTCATGCTTTTCTAAAATGAATGTGTATTTCATATATATATATATATCTTTTTAATTTTTATATTGTTCAATAAAAGTTGTCTCCACTTTTCCCCCATTACTCTCCCCTGTCCTACCCACCCCCCACGTCAATCCTCCCCATGTATTTGAAATCTAATGTTCTGCTTTCAAATCAATTTCTAGGAGAGTACAGCTGTATATTTTTACTGTTACAGTTAATGGACAGAATCGAGGTTAGATGAAAAAGTGTTAGAGTAGAAATGAGACTTGTGCTCCAGTCTAGGTTCTTTTTGCTGACTCGGGGACAAAGTTTTTTCCGCATGTGTGACAGGAGGAAAGCTGTACTTCCCAGATCAAATAAGGACTAACAATCTGATCCCTTTCTACCAAGGAACATTTTTTTCTTCTTTAATCAGAATAATCGGGTACACATTATAGTGTACCAAGTGCCATTTGTAAATTATTTCTACTTTAATTCATAAAAATATAACATGCTAGTTATCAGTAAATTTATTCAGTTTACTAAGATTTTGAGGTAGGGAGGAGGTAAGCAATAAAAACATATTACAATATGAGAAAATATACTGCTTCTAACAGTTACAAAAACTAAAATAGATAGTTGGTGTCATCAAAAGCCATTATGTTGATCACAGAAGCAAACGTTTCTGTGTCAGCTTTTGTAGAAAAAAGTTCTAAGCACCACTTTTATTATAACCTAGTCATTCATTATTTTCCCCCGGATTCTTTATAAGTGCATTTATGTTTCAGTGACTCCGGATACTTATCTTTCTTTTTTTTTTAAGATATCTGAACAGTGTCAGCCTTTGTTCATGTATAGAAAAGCTAGTGGTTATCAATTTATTGCTTGAGATCTTAAACTTATTGTGAATTTAAAATAAATACCTCTTTCTTTGTATTCCTGAGCAAGAATCTCTTTACAAAAGTGTCACTAAAAACAGACATTTCTTGTAATCATAACAACTATTTATTAATTGGGGTTTTCTATCAGAAATTTACTTCTAGGTTTTGTTATGTATTGCTATACTTAATCATTCACACCAGCGATTCTCAGCCAGTGGCCGCAGCACACTGGTGTGCCACAAGATATTTTAACATGCAATCAATGTCTGTTGAGTCAGAGGCACGGACCTCTTTTCCCTCAGATTGTCAATTAAAAAAATAATAACAATGAACACAATAATAAATGAATCAAAATTATATCTATTTTTTTACCCAATCAGCAATACATGTAATATACCTTTGGCCGTGCTACAGAATTTTAGTAATGAGTTTATGTGTGCCATGAGGTGGGAAAAGTTGAAAATCACTGATTTATACCATTGTCTTTGCTTTAATATACAACTTCCTATTTTTAGGGTAACTGTTGATTAAATTAAATATCTCAAGCAATATGATTAGCAATTCTGACCATAAGCTAATGTCATAATTTGTGTAGAGAAAAAATCACTGTGAAAATATTTTCTTCTATGTTACAACTTCTAGCCCTAGGTGAAAAAGAAATTGAGATTTGTAACATTTTTTAAATTAAAAAAAAAGTATATTATCATTAAAGGACATTTAGAAAATGCAGGAAAAAAGCAGCGGCAGGACAATTTCTAAAGCTGTACTAACCAGAGACATTCACTGGCAATCTCCCTATTGAATTTTGGTGTGTAGTTTAAGGTTTACATTGTTCTCATTCATATCATATTCCATTGTGCCTCTTCCACTTAATATTATTTTGTTAGCATGGTTTCTGTAAGGTTATAGTCTTCGTAAATCCCTTTCGTGTTTGTATAACATTTTATTTAACTTATTTTACCAGGTGCCTGTCATTTAGTTCTTTTAGTTTTAAATTGGAATGATGCTGATAATACTTTTTCATAGTTGAAGTTATTTTCTTAGGGTAAAAATTAAAAAACACAGTTGCCATTTGGGAACTTGAAAAGAATGTTGACATTTCCCTTTCATAGAGGATGTGTTTCTGCTTGAAACGGACAACCCAAGGACAACACTAGTGTACGGTGTTTTTACAACATCAAGGTAATTATTAAGCAATGATAATTTATGAGTTAAACAGTAACCTTTATTGAGTAATAGTAATTATCACAAAAGCACTTTTTTCAACTTTTAAATTTACATAACATTTGGGATTTAACCTTCCTCTTTTATTACTTTTGCTTTATTACCAAAATATATTTAAGTTGAACTTAATTTTTTCAAAATGGTTTTATGTAGATAATTTATAATAATTATATGATATTGTTCTCAAAGAAAGAAGAATGTTAATTATAATCCAGGAATAAAGTATGTAAGATATTTCATTTTAAGGAAATAATTTGAAGACTCATGATTCAAACAGAACTTTTGGCATTTCTATTAAGTAACTTTTACTTCCAGAGAAATCTAAAGTGATTACTGTTTAGAAAGCAACAAAATGCTGAACCTATTTTTATGTTCCATATGACAATATTTCATATATATTTCAAAATATATTTAATGTTTTCTACTTTCTCTGGATGCCTGATCCCAATCAGCATATATTCCAAGATATTCACCATATTCTCACCCTTTCCTGCACATGATTTTTCTGTTTTACATGAGGACTATTGCTCAGAATTCAATGCAGTATTCCAGTTGTGGCATGGCCAGGTAGAATGTCAGGGGTCCCTTTAATTAGACAGTCAACTACAAAATTTAAATTGAAAGATTTTAGCATTCTTTTCTAGTGAGGGAAACATGGCATGATTTTAATCTATGATGAGCCATTCAGTGAAAAAGAAAATCATAGGGATTTTCATTATAAATCATTAACATTCACCCTAGAAGATGTCTAAAAAGATGTCCTTTACAATAAGTTTAACTTCTGTTCTAACAAAGAAAGTAGTCTTAACTCACAAAGAATTGAAAAAAGAAAAAATAACCAATTTTTATTTTTATTTTATTTATTAATTTTTAGACAGAGGGGAAGGGAGGGAGAAAGAGATGAAGAGAAACATCACTGTGTGGTTGCCTCTTGAGCACCCCCTCCTGGGGTTTGGCCTGCAGCCCACACATGTGCCCTGACTGGTAATCGAACCAGTGACCCTTTGGTTTGCAGGCTGGTGCTCAATCCATTGAACCACACCTGCCAGGGCCAAATTCTTAAGAAGAAAATATTCATTTCAAAAAAAAAATTTTCCAGTTTCTGTTTTTCCCATCACCAGAAGCTTTGATGTTGGAAAATGTAAATTGTCATTTTGACTGTTAAGGTAAATGATTAATAATGCAGCTTGTTCTTTTCCATGGGCATCTAACTTTTCATTGGCCATGTAAGTTTTCCATTATGCATCTAATTTAAGAGAAATATGTGAGAGTCAGAGAAATGTTGGTTTTAGTCAGTCTCCCTTAATGATAATGAAAATAGTTTTCATTAAGGATCCAAACACATTTTATAGGATTTTACTGACCAAAGGCAACTTAATTAATCTATTTTGAACCCTTCTATTCTGAGTTTCATTTTTATGAAAGAACATAAGTAGCAATAATTTAGACTTCTGTGATACTATTTACGATGATATATAAGAATACTAATATTAAAAATCAAGACGAAGAGATGGTGTTCTCCTATTAATGAGATTTGTTTCTGTGAGTGAAATTATAAGTAGTATTGATAGTGATATAGAATTTAAAATCATATTTTTAATAAATCATCAAATCACTTTTTGTTGCTAGAATAAACTAGTTAGAAACTTCTTTATTTGTACTATATTTTAGAAACATTGAGAACTTTTCTATAGCATTGTCCACAACATTCATGAATGAACTAAATGTTTTAATGCTTTATGTACCAATAATTTTTTTCAAAATAGTAGAAACTTTTTAGCTTTATAAGGTGTACCATGAAATTGAACTTTTCCATGATGAATTACAGCAACTGCTTTATCATAAACTTTGCCATCTATTTTTAAATTGCATTTAAATTCAAATAATAAGATCTCTCTCTTTTTTTAGCTCAGTTTTTAAAGGATCAGCAGTGTGTGTGTATCATTTATCTGATATACAGACTGTGTTTAATGGACCTTTTGCCCACAAAGAAGGGCCCAATCATCAGCTGATTTCATATCAGGGTAGAATTCCATATCCTCGCCCTGGAACTGTGAGTACCAGAAAACTTCCTGTTATTTTACTTTTTAAATAAATATAACTTAAGAAATGCATATCAGTTTGGTGGTTATTAAATACAACTATAGAACTACTGGTATATTTATTATAAATTTTTAGTAGTCACAGCTTCACAGATTTGGGATTTACAAATTAGATAGATAGATAGATAGATAGATAGATAGATAGATAGATAGATAGATAGATAGATATCACTCTCTACACTTTTTCTAAGTGCTATTGCTAATAAATCTTATTTAGATTCAAGGCCACTGTGTATATTAGATAGGGAAGAGATATTTTCTTAATTATATCGACATAAAAACCATAGCTTGGAAAGTGTTGAACTTTTGGTGGGAAACTAAGAATTTGGATGTTAGTTGCTTTTCACAACTCTTCCTTGTATTAAGAAACCTCATCTATTTTTGTGAAGAAATAACCATGTGAGAATTAATTTACAGATAAATTACATAGTAATATTTCAGTCGTAAGGATATATTGATTTTATTTTATTTTTTAAAGGATTTTATTTATTTATTTTAGAGAGATGGGGAAGGGAGGGAGTGAAACATCAATGTGTGGTTGCCTCCAGCACCCTCCATACTGGGCATATGGCTTGCAACCCAGGCATGTGCCCCTACTGGGAATCAAACCAGAGATGCTTTGGTTCACAGGCCTGCACTCAATCCACTGAACTACACCATCCAGGGCCTTAAGGGGTATATTGATTTTACTGTGGCATCCACCAACGCGAGCAACAAATGGTCGGAAGCTTTCAGGAGTTTGAGATGGAACTTTATTGGCCAAAGTTTTACCTGTGCAGGGGTGAACTCTTGAGGTGCCAAAATGGCTGCAAATGACAGTCGCGCCTGGCGCTTACAGCCTAGGGTTTTTATTGGGGTGAGCAAGCAAGCAAATACAGAAGCAGACGTAGCTGTTAGCAATTGGCTATCTCAAGAGAACATACATGGCTATGTTCTCTGCTTGCAACAGTGGATACTTTTCTGCAAAGACAAGGTCATGCATAAGGCGGTTTATCTTGTTCAGCACTCTTTGTACTTTCTGTACTTTCTATCTTCCTTGCTGAGTCAGTCTGGAGCCTGCCTCGGGTTCCTCTTGGCTACTTTTATCTAATTCCGGGCCTAACATTACAAATTATGTTATTTCTCAAAGATGGAAAAGGGTACTTAGAAGCAAATAACTACAGTGAAAGTAATGTTGCAATTCAAAAACCTTTTTATAAACGATAGTTTCAGGCCTATAAATATATCTGTATCTTGTAATATTAGTAGTATTAAAGGGTACATTGAAAACTAACTTTTTCAGGTGAAGTTACAGAGCGTACACTGGTAGATTGGAACTCAAATTCTTCTAGACAACAATGATCAGTCCTGCTATTTGTTTTCGTTTTTTTGATCCATAACAGTGCTGCCTTTCATTCTAGAATATCGATTAGTTTCTCTCTCTGTACAATGTCATACAGTGCACTGATTGAGAGGAGATACAGATACTATACAACTGACACCAATGGGAATATAATTTTCTAATGTCTGTGCATTCATAGAATAAGGTTAAAATGGTAAAGTGTTTATAAGTAAAGAAGAGTGATTGTATGAAAAAATTACAATAGAGTTGTTAAAATAATATTAAATTTGAAAGTGTTTCTTCTTTCTTTTAACTTGAATATAAAATTTCGTTGGCCAATATGCTTTCAGATATTCATCCCACATAATTTTAACCAGTTGTAGATTCTCTTTATGTTTTTGTTATTGTTAGAGTTTATTTACAATGTATTATTTACTCCCTTACTTTCTGATCTTAAATTACAAGGTTGTCAATATATTTTACAACAGAAAAACTATATTTTTCTAATAGTTTCTATTTATTCAAAATTAAAGTTTGGTTTTCAGTTAGGAAGCTGAAAGATTAATTATTAATATGTATTTTATTAGTTAGTTAACTTTAAATTAACTTTGGAAAGATGATCAGCATTACTGTTTATCCGTGAAATAATTAAACTTAATCTTAATGATATCTAGCTACACAGTCCCATCATAGAATTCAAAATCACCTTCCAAATGGTATCTTTGTGACACTCATATCTCAGCAAAATAGGGGAAAGCAAAAAGAAATGAATTATTTTCTATAACATAAGAAAAAGAAATCAAGAGATACATTTATCTTAAAGCACCTCAGTTTGGACTGTGTTGGATAAAAACAGATTACGTAAGAGAAGAGAAAGTGAAGGGGGGAAACTGAGCAACTTTCAAAATTCCGTTCTAACTCAAAAGCTCTCATTCTTTCAGTGTATTGCATGACTCACTGACAACATATTTGGAGGTAAATATGTTTGAGAAGTACTGATGTTTGAAGTTGACAGCATCATTGCTTCACTGTACCACAGAAAATTAAGGGGTGGTTGTGCTTGCATATACTTTCATCAATTATTCTTTGAGCAACACATATATGGGATATAGTAAAGGAGCAATTGACATGTAAATTCAACAAAATTTCATTTGTCTCTAAATCATATCATAAGAGAAATCTCTTGGATAAATCAATAAAACAGATAAAAGAGAGCCACGCCATCTGAATAAGGGTTAATGGCTGCAGAGCCTCAGTAAGTGTGTGTGGAGCCAGCCTACACTGGCTCCTGAGAGCACATTGTGTACGTCTTGTCTCAAGTAAGGCCATCACCCAATAACTTGAAATCAGCACAGTGGATTATTTACACCATAGAAATTGGCACATATTACAAATCAGGGATTTTTTTCCTGCTGAAAAGGCTACTTGTCCCAATGCCCACCAGACCCTTCACCCGGTTCAACTGAGAATCACAGTAAAAGAACTACTCATGTCAACCAGCAATTAATTACACTACATAAAATGTGGGAATAGATAAACCCTTTTTAGTAAAAACAATAAATAAATCACAGCTAAACTAGAAAATTCTGCTAGCAGTTCCATTTTCACTATTTCTGAGCTCCTAAGAATAAGCGTTTTCTTTTTTCTGTTCTAAAGCATTGTGGAATAATGCCAGGGCTTAGTGACACACATCTGGAGCTGACTCCATGAGAAAAGGGAATAATCAGTACTTGAGACACATTTGTGTAATGTGGTTCCCTACATCTGGTGCTGAGAAAAGAGCAGCACCTTTAAATTGAAAAAGGACAAAAAAAAGGTCAAATGAGTGCTCCTTAGGGAATAAAAGAGGCAGGGTGGAGGAATGACCTCTGGAACTCCTCCTAGAAAAGCATTTCTCCCTGAAGATTTGGTCCCTCCACCCTCTACTGTACAACACATCATGAAGTCAGCTCTCTGACTCACAGTGGCCAGAAGTGTCAGCCTCTTCCCTGCACTTCCAGGATTTAATATCCCATTCATGTGGCCAGAAGACCTACAGCCAAGTGATCCAAAGCATTCCGTCTTCTCTAGGGTTAAGAATATTGCCTCTGAAGTCCTTGCAATGATGGGTCAATTATGATCGCTGACCTTTATTTCCCTACACAGTAGTCCAGTTGCCATGTCAAGCTCATAAATATATGACTGGATTCTTAAAGAAATTACACGGGCAGAAATTTTACACCCTCATTGTAATATTCCCTGTAGGTGCTTCCTTTTAAGCAGGATTGATAGTTGTGTGAGTAAACTGCCCCGACTAGCAAGTCGAAGTCAGTAGGAAGAAGCCTGCCAATTGTGTCATAATGTTTTTCCATAAGTAATTCAAGTTTGTGGAAGAAACAAGACACCTTTGGTATGTTGCAAAGGGCAGCCAAAAAGCTGCAGATCCTCTCTGTGGCTGAGCTAACATATTACATTATCCTGCTGCAATGTGTATAAAGCTTCTGTAGTAGATTGTGTTTGCATATTCTATCCTCTTAAAGCAGAACCTAATAAAAGTGTTCAGTTTTAATATCATTTTAGAAATGGATCAGAACCCTTGGCTTCAACCATATTACTTTGAATGGTTCTGGTACCTGGTAGAGCAAAAGAACACAGAAAATCCATTTTCCACATAGTGTTGTCAAGAAACAAAGTTGATTGCTAGCACTTTTGTTGATTACATGTATCTTCCCATTGTTCTCACATTAGAAGTATTTCTTTCTCTTAGATGTTTGAAAATATTTAGTTAGTGAAGTTTAGAATTATATTAAATACATGAGGTATAGAGACATGAAAAATCAAAATGCATATTGTTTCAGGTCATTCAAAATGCATGAATAAAATAGACAGTGAACATGGCAGTCTAGTGGAGAGAATGTTACACATCAGCCTTGTCTGGGAAAGCATATAAAAATATGAGATTGAGCTGTTCCTAAGGGGCAGCTGGACGTGAATAAATTGGATAGGTAAGAAAGGATGTTTTAGGCCAAATTGCACTACATATTACAAGTCAAAGAAAAGAAAAGTGAGTCCTAGAAGCTCTGCATTGGCAGGCAGGTCTGGGCAGAGGGATTTTTTAGGTGATGGGAGGAAATGTGAGGAGGAAGAGGGCCAGCTGGTATATAAGTACAAGACTTCAACTATGTGATTGTTTGGGTTTTAAATAAATAAAGGACCTAGATTACCAGGGCTCTAAACATAAGATTAGTTTCTTCAAAATACATATTTTATAGGCCAGTGCTAGAAACCAGCCTGGTTTCTGCAATACCACTGAGTCTACCTTTTTATCAGTTTACCACTCATCTTTCAAGTGTCAAGTCAAGTTCCCCTTGACCATACCAGTTACTGCTTTGACTGGATTTGCATTTATTTTCTGCTGTTTTCACCCTAGGCTGTTACCTCTTGCCTCCACTTTGTATTCTAGGATCCAACAATGCCCCAGAAATGACAATTCTCTAAATACTCCAAACTCCGTGTACTTATTTCTAAACCACCTCAGTGGCCCTGGCAGCCTTATGTTCCTCCACTATTCTAAATTTGTTTAAAAGAATATTGACTCTTAAACATATATGGTCATTGATTATGACCCAAGCTCTGTTATTTATTTTATATTTTTCTTAAATTATTATGTATGTCTTAATTTTGCTTTGATGTTGTCCATGTTTCTAACCAGAATACTCGTGTCTAAAAGACAGTTGTAGCTTCTTATTTTTAGGTTTTCCACTGAGCACATCAAAATGCTTTTTTGGACAAAAGCTGTTTGGAGATGGAAATATGAATTAATATATGAATATATTAATGACGAAAACTGGCATAATGGCTGTGAGAATTAGGAAAACATTTATGAGCATCAGAGGTCAGCAGATACTCAAAAATACCTGAGAATAAGAAGGAAATTAAGGGCAACCATTGCTGACACTTCTTTATCTTGGCATTGTTATTGTTCCTTGCCGTTCACTTAACACTTTAGTAATCAAAACGCTTAAAATGTCTTTACTCAGAGAAGGAGTGCTTATCACTGAATGATAAACAGAACACTGGAACTGGAGAAAAACAAACACTTAAAGGAAAAGTTTAACCCAAATTACTTAATGACTGTTTGTGGAGTAAAATTATCCTTCCGAGGAATGAGACACCAACCTAATTAACGGACAGAGGCTTTGTTTCATTGTAGCAAATGAATGGACAGTTACCTTTAGGTTTCAGTGCACAAGCTTATACACACACAAGGTGAAGGGTAGGTCAATCACATCTTGTTTATACTTGGCAGTGTTACAATGAGCAAACTCTCAAATCCAAACAGTCTGAAAAGGGTGATCAATTTTTTTTCTTGTCACCATCATTATCATTTATTCTAGTATATCTGTAGTTTCTGCTATGAACGGATTGGAAAATTAATTATTGTCAAAACAAACTTTTTGTAATTTTAAAATACACTCACATAAGGAGATGCTTGTCTCTAAGAAAGAAGTTTATTGTGAATATTATAAACAGAAGTCCCAAATGTGGGATATCTTAGTAAATATAGAATAACTGATTTCAGTTGATTTGTTTGGTTACTAATTTAATAACTATGGTTTTACAGATATAAAATTCTTATCTGAATTTTAGTGATCATGAAGTAAAACCCATAAATAAGGCACATAATTTAATTAGTTTATTGCATGTGAAAATAATCACTAACTGGAAATTATACAAGCTGTAGTATGTGCTAACTTTGGATCTCTCCAGAACTTACAAATAAGGATGCTTGCAAATATTTTAAAGAGACATCTCAGCTTAGCAAACCATAATTAGTGTTGTTTTATGAAAATCTGGAACTACTTAAATTGCCCGTGCGTTTGTTCTTTCCATGTTTTCATTCCATGAGCAATGGATTTCCCTTTTTCCGCTTTGTATGAAGAATGAGGGTAGAAAACACCCATAATCATATACTTTTGAGAAGTGTGGAAGACATTCATCAGTTTAGAACACCCTCAAATGAAATGCTTTGTCCTCATTTGGTCTTCATTGTGGGCAATTTATAGACATGTATATTTAAATACAATGCTTTTTTTTTTTTAAGGAAAAAACAAAACATATGAACCCTAGACAAAAGTCTAGTTAATGGGATAAGAGGCTTAGTCTTATTACTTTCTTATTATCCCTCCTTAGTGAAGTCATTTAATTGCTCCTTCTGCCTTCCTGCAAAAAGAGAACTACATTTACTAGTCCTGTAAAAAGTTCTAATAATGTTAACTGGTCAGAGTTAGCCTAAAAATTGCTTTTGGCATGATGAACATGTCTCAGTGAACATGGCCGCCTCAGGAATTTGCTGAGACTGACTTGCAAGTGCTGGTCTGCCTGGAAGTGCTGGCCCAGAGACCCTGACGTATTCCACGGCTGTTACAAGCACTGACCCAGAGGTTTTCATGTTTCATTTGGTCCCTAAAATTGTTTGTCTTTTTTTCATTGAGTCCACATTAAAATGTTGGCAGGTTTCACATAAAATTCCACATTTCCATCTTCTGTTCAAATCTGGCCACACTAGGTTTATATAATGCATAGGAGCAATCAGGTAGAAATAAGGGTTCATTGCCACCTTTGAGTAAAGTATCTCTTTGCAGTTTGTTACTGTGCTTATTAGATCCTGCTGTTTACCACCGGTGCTGTGCCCATGGCTATTGTTCAGGAAGCTTGCTTCACTGCTTCCCTGTTACCTTGCACTTCTTTAGTGAAGAAAAAAGAAAACTAGAACAGGAGTGCTATTTGCAAGAAAAATTTGGCCAAGTTATTTTTTTTCCTGAAAGTAGAGCTATTGACAGATGTTCATTCAATAGGGTTAGACAGATCGTGTTTATATGTGTTAAAAGAATATACCCAACAGCTTTGCTCATATTGTTTAGCACTTGGATCCTATTAGTGAGTGTGTGTGAGTGCCAAGCTCCAGGGCTCCCAGCCTGCCCTCGAGTTTGGCCTCAGGTGCCCTGTAAATGGAATCTTCTCCTCAGAAGCCCTCGTCACGCTCCCTTTCCAGAACTGTTGAAGCCGTCCAGCAGTCCTTTTCCAGATCTCAATTTTGCTTTCCATCTACCCCTTTGAACTTGAGGCTCTGAATCTTTCCTCCCTTGGCCAGAATCGAGGCCCTGTTTCATACAGCCCCTGCACCAAAATCGGATGCCAGATACAATAGAGTAGTCCACTACTCTTTGTCAGGTAGCCACTATTTGTCAGCTTTGTTATAGGTCTAATAGTGAAACAACGAACAAAATATACCCAGTTAATGTCAATACACAGCTTACATTCCAGAGGGAGATACAGACAATAAGAATAAAAGCATCTAATATAATGTACAATTAGGTAAATAGGACTGTAAAGCAACATAAAGCAGGCTAAGAAGGCAGTGGAAATGGAAAGGGAGAGCTATTTTTATTTGTGTCCTCACCTTTAAGGAAGAAATTTTTCAACTGAGAACTGAATGAAGCAACAGAGAAAGCCACGGACTTGTGTGAACAAGAGTATTTCAGATGGGGAACAGCAGGTGCCAAGGTGTGAGCGGGGGCATGCTTGAGGCTCAGGAGCAGCAGGAATTGCTGTGGGAGTGACAGGTGCAGGCCAGGCATCCAGGGGCTTGCAGGCCATGCTCAGCTGTTGGTATTTTATTCTACAGTTAATAGAAGCCACTGGGGTCCTTTCAGTGGTTTCAGAGGGGAATTGTCAGGTCTGATTTACCACATCCAACCCAAGTTCCAACTTCAGAGATCCTTCGTTTGGGAAAAGTAATATACAACACAGTGTCAGCTCCTCTCTGCAAACAAATAGGGTAGGATAAGTGGACTTAGCCTCATTTAAATGATGAAATCGTACACATATATTTATTTTCTACAGGTAGTATTATATAGTACTGTATATAGTTTTGCTGTTTACTCATCAGGAAGTCAACTTAAAACAACTTGAGCTAAGTATTTTGATCATTACTAAAATTAAGCAAATATTTTATTAACTTTTTATTTAAAAACATTTTTTAGTGCCCAGGAGGAGCATTTACCCCCAATCTGCGAACCACCAAGGAGTTCCCGGATGACGTTGTCACTTTTATTCGGAACCACCCTTTCATGTACAATTCCATCTACCCGGTCCACAAGAGGCCTCTGATCGTCCGCATAGGCACCGACTATAAGTACACAAAGATAGCTGTGGATCGAGTCAGTGCTGCCGATGGTAGATACAACGTCCTGTTTCTTGGAACAGGTAAGTTCCGAACCCAAACTATGCTTTAATGTGTAGAAAAGACTGTAATGGGTAAGGGCTGTGATACCGGTACCAAGAAGTCCCCATTGTTTACTGCTGTCTGACTATTAGTGAGATAGTTTTTAAAAAAAATACATATAATTTCTTTAAAATATTAATGGTACTATTTTAATATATTTACAGACTCTAGTTTGGCAATTTCCTTCAATAGATGGTTGAGTGAAAATACTCTTGTTTCTAGACCTACATGTTGTTGAATGTCACAGTGCCTTGTCACAGTGGTTGGTTTCAAAGTGTGGTCCTCGGACTAGAAGAGCAAAATCAATATCACCGAAGAACTTATTAGAAATGCGAAGTCTGAAGCACTGATCTAGGAACTCTAGGACTGAGAGCCAGCCATCTGTGTTTTAACAAGCCCTCCAGTAAATCTAATGCACACTGAAGTTTGAGAACCACTTATTCAAGAGAAAGAAACTAGTTTGCCTGTCAGGCAGTAATTCATATCTTTCTAACATCCCTGACTACCTTGCAGGCAGTGATGAAATCTCTTTACTTGTCTTGTAATATTAGAACTAGTCCATGAAATTAGGTAATTTCTCTACTAGTTTAAGAAATGCATATAAAATGTGTCTGTAATCCTCATTGTAAGATGCATAGTGGTGAAATATATATGTATTCTGAGCTAAGGAATAAATTGCAGTCAAACTTCAATCAATTTAAGATGGGGATATTTTTTCTTGGCTAAATACAATTTTCCAAGTGTGCTTTTCTTACAGAGTTCTTCTATTACCCTTGTTTATTCTTATATATAAAACCTCAGATATGAGTCTTTCACTCTCATATAATTACAATGTATAGTGGGCTGAGGTTGAGAAGCATCTGACATGGACTGTTTGGCATCTGCTCCCTCACTTGGACAGATCTGTGTTTTTGCTAGTCCTCTCTTTGCTTGTCCCATACCTGAGGGATAATCCTACCTTCCCATACTAACCATTTCCTCTTCTGCTTCTAATTTTATCTTCTCCTGATATTTCCAGGACCATTCTTTATCAAGTATTCTTTATTCTAATTCATTTTTTATCAGATTTTATTCTCCACTTCATCCTAGGTTTCAAAATCGTATGACAGGACATGAAACTAGACCTAACCTTCACCCATTGCCACCTCTGCCATAACACTGGTTTTGCCAAGGTCTTCAGTGTTCCCGTGATAAGAAAATCCATTGGCCTTTAAGCATTGAAATACCCCCATCTCCTCTTTGCATCATTGGGCATTGTGGAGTCGCTCTTGTTGCTTCAGCCATATACCCCAGATACTCCTTTTTCTCTGGAAGTTCCTTCTCAGGTTCCCTCATTAGCCTGCCTTCCTCTAGCCCATGAGTGTGGGTATTCCTTGTGGTTCTGTCCAAGTCCACTTCTTTTAACATATCCATTAGCCATCTTATTCATTCATTTTTTCAACTTGGCCAAACATTTTATTTTTTAATTTAATCTTTATTATATTTTTTACACTACCATTTAGTCCCCTTATAACTCCCATTCACTCAGCAGTCACCACACTGTTGTCCATGTCCATGCATCTTTTTCCTTTCTGCTCAATCCCTCCAGCCCCTCATCTGCCCCCCACACCACCACCACTAGCTATCTACTCTCTATCTATGAGTCTGTCTCTGTTTTGCTTGTTAGATAAGTTTGTTCATATGAGTGAAATCATATGGTATTTATCTTTCTCTGACTGGCTTATTTCACTTAGCATAATAGTGTTCTTCAGGTCCATCCATACTGTCCCAAAGGGTAAAATTTTCTTCTTTTTTATGGCCAAATGGTATTGCATTGTGTAAATATCCCAGAGTTGTTTTATCCACTCATCTACTAATGGACACTTGTGCTGCTTCTGTATCTTGGCGATTGTAAATAATGCTGCAATGAACATAGGTATGCTTGTGTACTTTTGAATTAGTGTTTTGGGTTCTTTCAGATAAATTCCCAGAAGTGGGTCACTGGGTCAAAAGGCAGATCCATTTTTATTGTTTTGAGGCATCTCCAGCCTGCTTTCCACAGTGTCTGCGCAAATCTACATTCCCACCAATAGTGCAAAAGGGTCCCCCTTTCTCCACATCCTTGCTAGCACCTGTTGTTTGTTGATTTATTGATGATAGCCATTCTGACAGGTGTGAGATGTCATCTGATGGTTTTAATTTGCATTTCTCTGATGATTAGTAACATTGAGCATCTTTTCATGTCTGTTGGCCATCTGTATGTCCTCTAGGAAAAGTGTCTATTCAGAGCCTTTGCCCATTTTTTTAAATGGGTTCTTTGTGTTTTTTTGGTGTTGAGTTTTGTAAGTACTTTGTAGATTTTGAATATTAACCCCTTACCAGATGTATTAGTAAATACATTCTCCCATTTTTTGGGTTGTCTTTTTATTGTGTTGATGATTTCCTTTGCTGTACAAAAACTTTTATTTTTATATAGTCCCATTTATTTATTTTTCTTTTGTTTTCATTGCCTGAGGATATACGTCTGGTAAAAATATTGCTACAAACAATGTCTGAGATTTCATGGCCTGTGTTTTCTTTTAGGATTTTTATGGTTTCAGGTCTAGCATTTAAGTCTTTAATCTACTTTAAATTTATTCTTGTGTGTGTTGTAAGAAAGTGGTCTAGTTTAATTTTTCTGCAAGTGTCTGTCCAGTTTTCTCAGCATCATTTACTGAATCGGCTATCTTTAGCCCATTGTATGGACTTGCTTCCTCTGTTGAATATCAACTGACTGTAAAGGTGTGGGTTTATTTCTGGGCTCTCTATTCTATTTCATTTATCTATGTGTCTGTTTTTTATGCCAGTACCATGCTGTTTTGATTACAGTGCCCTTATAGTATAGTTTGGTATTAGTTAGTATGATTCTTCCAATTTTGTTCTTATTCATTTGATTTTAATTATTCTGTGCAAACAAATACCAAATGTACATCTCTAGTTATTGCCATTTCTGAAGCTCAGTATTTGCACTTACAACTTACTCTTAGATAACACAATTGTACGATTCATTAACATTTTAGACATCATTCTTCAGACTTAATTTATTCACTGCTAAGACTTTCTAATCAGTGCTTAATCCTGCCTCCCATATTTGTATTCTTACCACACATTCTTCTCAGGGCACTATTTCTCCTTGATACATATTTTCTGTCTAGGCATTCACAGTACCTGGTAAGCTTACTGCTACTCATGTAATTAAATAAATTCATAACTGAGTTCAAAAGCTAATACCATTGTTTATAGGCTGTGTTATCCTAAGATGTAGCCTCTGTTTAAATGACTACAGAGAGTTGCTTTTTCCTTGACTCAGATCATTCCATGTAGTTTGCATTTGGAAAAAAAAGTTTATTTTTTCCCCAAGTAAAGTAATTTTAGACCACATCTTTCTGTAATGTCTCATATTACTCTGAAAAAAAAAACTTTTCTTTTTTTCCTTTTGAAACCTGTCTAAATGATGGACTCTAGTGTTATAATAATGCTGTTTTTTCATGTAATCATACATGAAAATTTCATGAGTGGAATTTTTAAGTCTTCACAAACTGTGCAGGAGTATTTATTCAGATAGAAGACAGTAAGAAATATGCTTTTACACAAGTTCTTTCCCTTTTCTTACACATAAGTATCTGGCACCTTTACATACGCTTTTTTACATTGGTATTCAAACATTTGTGTCACGTTGAAAAACAGTATTTAAGCATATATTTTTAATGTTAGTGGGAAGCTTCCCTAATGACTGCATACAAAGCCACACAAATCTCCTGAAGGTGAGTCTGCTAGATAAGTGTGTGCTACGCCAGCGATTTTCCCAGCAGCATCTTTCTGAAGGAAAGTAACTCACTTAACCCCCAAACCTCATCCTCCTGGTGATATCAGACCACACTATGGCTCAAAAACAGTGTGGTTGTTAGAATATCAATCGACCTGAAATTCTAACAACCAGTAGATCAATAAAAAATATTTTATGCCTGACTAGTTCTTGGATTGCTGATGAAATTTCTTTAAAAGAGAATTTTCAGTGCTTGTGTGCTACTAAAGGTAAATAAAATACTTTTCTGAACTGGAACTCGGGAAAAGCACAGGTCACTATTCCCAGGGTTTCTTAGCATTTTGTATCCAAATGTCTTAGGAAGGATGTAATATTTTTGGGGTGTTGTCAAATCCCCAAGTAATAAAGAGCCCTTCCGCTGTAATAAATAAATAATGATACTCCGATCATTGCCACCAGGCAAGCTACTCTTGTGGTTTCTCTACAATCATGAAAAATTCAGGGTAATTCAATGAAGACATAAATTGTCAGGGAAGACGCCATAGGAAAAACTTTCATGACGGTGTATTGGAACACAAATATAGCGTGTAACTGTATTCACTTTGGGTATTATGAACGATCGTATAGCCACAGAAACTCGTGGTGCTTGTGTGGGCTAGCGCCTACTAACTGTTAATTAGCCCATTACAGTGTACCACTCTGGCTGGGTGTGAGAGTGTAATCTGCCTTCCACTGTGATGGGACTGCCTCACTATATTTTGTGTGCTCCCAGGTGCCAGCACACAAAGGTAGGTAGGTAGGTAGGTAGGTAGGTAGGTAGGTAAAATAACAGGAAGAAAGGAAGAAAAGATGAGCTTCATCTTCTCATTTTTTACAGTTTGCATCATCAATGCCTAGTCTAGGAGTCAGCAAATTACAACCTGAACCAAATCTAACTCCACTGTGTGTTATCCATAAACTAAGAATGTTATTTTGTATTTTTAAATAATTGAGAAAATAAGAATAAGAAGAAGAGCTTTCATGAGCAGTGAGAACTGTAAGATTTTAGATTTTGGTGCTCATAAATAAATCTTTCTTAGAATTGCCCCATCCATCTACATTTTGTCTGTGGCTGCTTTTGTGCAAAGTTGAGTAGTTGCCACGGAGACCACTCAGCCTTGAAAGCCTAAAATGTGTTATTATTTGGCCTTTTACAGA